GGACCAAAATCTACTTAATTGAACTCAAAACTGAATGAACCATAACTTAAGCATAATGAACATGAACTTGGTTTGAACCAAGTGAGGACTTAGACTTGCACATTGAACTCTCACTTGAACTCAACGAAACTACAAGAGAAAGAACTTGAGTTTGGTATTTGAACTCAAGTAAGAACTTAGTGGACCTTTGAAACAAGATTGAACTTGAACTACAAGGAACTTTGACTCAAGTTTGGATATGGACTGCATTAAGGATGAGCACAACGTAATAAAACTTGGGTCTTAATGTGACTAATTCATAAGAGGCCTAATTCGAATAGAAATATAAATTCCTAATGGACCACTAAGGAATTATTATTCCAATAGAGATGCAAGTGCTAACCCACCTGAATCTCATATGCAAATTCTTTACAAAAAGTGATGAAATCTATGTGAGCAATAGTGATCAGCATGTATCAATTATCTCAGTTGGAGAGAAAGGATCGATGAGCTTAATCTCAAGTTTATCGCAAAGAACTCTTAAGCATAATTTGATTTCAAGCAGCAAGAAGAGCATGAAGAATATGATTTTTATATCAAAATCATAGCATTAGGAAGAGGCCATTGGATCATAATAGCTCATTTACAATATTAGAAGCAATGAATCTTCAAGCAATGATTAATGGAGATGGCAAGGAGATTCTGATTATTATCAATAGCAATCGACGAGTGGATCGATACACTAACTAAATACTACTTAGTTCCCTATGAATACTTCAAAGCTTTCTGGTCAAACGAGACATAAGTACCAAAAGGATAATGATTATTTTTACATCAAACTTTTACAAATAAAGAGAATTGACATACAACGAACATACGAGCTACATGATGACAGTGACACTCTCTGCAAGCATACATAAGAAAGATGAAGTAGAGATGTACTTAACGACATAATGAAATGTGCAAAGATGTCTCATACACCCGGTGACATAGTAGGGTTTCTACAGGCATCCAGTATCAACATAGTGAACTAATAATGAAGAGGTATTTGAGAATCTAGAGTGAATACCACCTTCATGCAATCAAGTGTAGGTGAACACATCATTCTCCCATCAGTAAGAATGTACGACATACATCAGATGTAAGCATCCACAAGCCCTTATAGAAGACCGTTACATACACAAAATGTCATCCACGAATAAAATGTCAAGTGAATACAGTGTATGCAAGATCCCACGAGCTTCTGCTAGAGCCCCGCTACAAATGTTATATAAAATCTACGAACAAATGCCAAACAAACTACGATGAATGCAAGCATCAATGATCTGAAGCAGGAGATTCGTTAGTGCACTACGATCCACCTACAGAAAGTAACGCGTAGTGCACGACAATCCACCAGTACGAAGCAGCGAATAACTCAATTCAGAAGCTGCTACGTCACGCAATCGAATCTGCAACCTCTATACAAGCAGACAGAAAGCGTCTACAAATATTTTAAAATACCCCTGCACGTGCACTATAAATTGTATACACATAGGTACACTAAAGGGGAAAGTACAATCTCAACCCGCATGGGCCCCGACGAGCGTGTTATTGGTACACACGTGACGTCTAGGGATGCTGCGCGGGTTGACAAGTGAATTCAAGTTCGAACCCGATCCTTCTATACGAGTCAATAGAAGTCGACAGGGTTCGAACCAACAAACAAATATACGGTTGTGGCGACCGTCATATTTGTCTTAATACATTCATATTAGGCCTTCAAGGCCTATAACAATGAGAATTCACTATCAAGGGCATAAAACATACGAAACCCGATCCTCTGTCGACAACCAGACAGAGTCGACAGAGTTAAAGCTTTAAATGAAAATAACCCCGAACATGCCGATGTTGGTCATGTTGAATGCCAATCTTAACCGGAGGGGTCCGTTCCCCAAATATTTTCAAATATCTCCACAATATCCAAAGTTTTATTTCAAATATTCCAAAGCTCCACAAAAATCCAAAAAAATCCCCAAAATCCAAAGCTCCACAAAAAGCCCAAATTCCATATATTTAAAATTGAAATCATCCATCTGTACTTAAAGCAAAACCCATCCACCCTCCGCAATAGTCTGCCGGGGTGGACAAATTCAAATAAACTTTAGCTCACAAAGAGCCAAATGCTTAGTCGAAAATATCACTATGATCCATTCTCAAACAATCTCTTGCCAGTAAGGACGTGGTACGTGTCCTCTAACCGGCAGTTTCGCCGCCAAATGGCACTGCAGGTAAACGGTTATGACCCGGGGCCCTCTGAACCGAGTGGTTTTGCCGCCAAATGGTACCACAGATAGCGGTTATGGCCAGAGCCGATACGCTCCTTAATGGCGTTAAATCCTTGAGATATGAATCAATAGGATATGATCGATAGGGCACAAAGCCCTCTGTTAGCTAAGGTGGATTCAAATTTGTCCCCTTAGACAAACATTCAACCCAGGTCTACAAGGACCCCTTGGACGAAGCAACCCATGGCTGCCGACAAGGATCCTTCTGTCAGGTTGGGTCGACTACCTCCTCTGACTAAGTAGACTAGGGACCATGATGGCCCGAGACGACGGAACCATTGGATCTTGATCGGGTCCATCATCCATTCCCCCACCATCCGCTTTAAGTACACGATGATGAAACTTCTATTTTAAATATTAAACTCTCCAAACATTTCCCAAATTCCCAAATCCAAACCCAATTTTCAAATCCAAATTCTACCAATATCCAATCTTTCCAATCTCAAATCCATTGCTGCTACTATATGCCAGATAACATGTATTCTATACGTATCTGATTGACGACTAGCCTTAATCGAAAGTTCTCTCTCGTGATCGGGAGGGGTAATTAACTATAGGGGCTTGCACCTATAGGAAACCAGAACTCAGATCATAAAGTCCTCACAAAATGAGGGCAAAATCTCTGGGTAGTGTCTTATCTACAAACCCATTTGCCTTCCAAAATTTACCCCGGAACTTAGTTCGTTAAAACTCCCTCGCCGAATAAGAAAAAGCGAGTGGAGGCCGGGGCCGAATTTTCGGAGCCCACAACTGTATGGGATCTCATAGTCGATAGTTTTTTTACCAGGATAAGGTTTTCCTCAGCCATTTCTGAAGAGAGTTGTTCATGCTGCATGGAACAGTTCTAAAGAGGAGCACTGCTTACCAACATTAATAGTAAACAAGAGCCTGGAGACTTACCTGTGATGTTTTGTTTCAGAGACACCTCGGCTGTGGGCTAAGTGGCTTGCATGGATAGAGTACTAATGCAACACTTCATATCATTCGAATTCCCAAATGACTCATTTCAAAGTGTTGTACATAAGAGACCCTCAACACTTGATGTATTTTGGGCAAAAGAGCACACCAGTCTCTTCAGTAGATCAGTACTTGGAGGAAAGAGATAAGGTGCTGGAAGAATTGAAGAGGCACATGTTGAGGGCACAACAAATTATGAAGAAGCAGGCAGATGGACATAAGGAAATCCAGTTCGAAATGGGGAATAGGTTGTTTTTAAAGCTGCGGCCCTACAGATAGAGAATGATCGCCAACATGAGGAATGAGAAGCTGACCTCAAGGTACTTTGGCCCACATGAGGTATTGGAGAGGATTGGAACAGTAACGTACCGCTTGAGATTAACATCGACCGCTACTATGCATCCAATGTTCCACGTGTCACAACTGAGGAGAGCTATTGGGTATCATACGGCTAATTCAGAGTTACATATGACACAGACAAAGGATTTATAGGTGTTATTAAAACCACTATAATTGAGAGGAGTTCGAAAAGCAGAATAAGGGACCATGATAAAATGGAAGAGCTTACCAGATTATGATGCCACCTGGGAACCATACGAGAGGGTGAAGCATTAGTTTTCATCATTTCACCTTGAGGACAATGCGATTCTTTGGAAGGGGGAGTTGTTAGACCGGTCCAAGGACCAGTCCAGCCGTCCCAGCACCAGGGCCGGCCCCTAGTTTACTCCAAGCGGACTAAAAAGCCATCGGGCCCCCTTGTGGGACCCATTATTTGAATACAAAATTAAGGAGTGGCGAGCAGTTTAGGAGGGAATTAAATTTGGGGCAGTTGTTTAGTAATTAAAATTATATTTATATTCTTTAAATAGATGGGAAGGGTTAGAGTTAGGGTTATCTTCATTTTTTGCTGAATTTAGGATTTTTGTTAGGTTTGCTTGGGCTTTAGCCACCGGTTAGGGATTGGAAAAGCTAGATCTTCCACTCGAATTGAATATCCATTGTATCTTGATTATTTTCTTCCACTTTTCATCAATTATCAAGTTTCCCAAGTGTTTTACCATGAGATTTATCTCAAATTCTGCCTGAACTTTGTTGAAATTCCAAATTTCAGCCAAGCTCTTTTTGATTTCTGCACTTGTTTCCTAACACACATTACTTAGAAAGATGGTGCTAAAAATATAATGACTTGAATGGAAGGAAGGTGTATTTCTTTATCATATTTGGCCATCATCATTTACCATTATTAATTAACTATTGGATGTCAGCATTACAATTTCTTTTTTTTTAAATGATGAGTGTGAAGGCATAAATTCGATGTCTGCGAAATTCAAACTCAAGAACACGACAACAACTTCCAAAAATTTTCTCAACCAAGCAGTTGCTTCATCGATACAAAGCAAACTATTCTTTCGCTTTTTTTACCCCCTTTCTATGCCAAGCACTTCCACACTATAACCACTCTAATGCCTCGAGCATTCTATCTAGAAATAACGCCTATACCATCAGTTTGTATACTACCATCTCATTTTCAAACTCACCATATTCATATATTCATTGAATTTTCTATTTTTTCTATTATTACAAAGCCATATTAGCATTTCCATTAAAAAATAATAATAAAATTAAAAAAAAAATATCTGTTGATATATCCATTAATCGTAAAAACTATTATCTTAACATCACACTATGAGATGGTAATATCATAAGATTAATTCCTTTGAAGTTTAATACACATACCCTTGAGCCTTTGCCCAACGAGACAGTTGATAGAGCTGAACTGCCTCATTAGAAACATGGCATGCTAGGAGCAAGTAGTTTCGTGGACGAACCATCCAAGCAAACCTCATGAAGAGTCCCGAATAAACACACATAGCTGCAAAACCATTAAAATAGCGCTACTATGAAAAATAGGATTTATTTCAAGGTTGTCCTGGCCATTTTTTACTAACCTGCCGTCATGTTACCAGATATCATTTCTGGTGGCTTCTGGGTATCAACCAAACCCTAAAAAAACAAACTTTTGGATGAGCGTACATCAATCAAGCACAGTTTCTCTTTAGAACCGTAGTGAGAAATCATATAATGTCAGCATGTATGACTATATATCATAACATTTGCAAGCAATTTTTTAATAGCTCATTATTGATGTAGGTTACCGTAGAATCTAGAACTTATAATATAAATCTATCATGAAAAGTAGTGATTGCTGTTTATTTTAATAGATCGTCTAGAAGAGAAGCAAACAATTTAATGTAACAAATGGTAGAATAAACATGCAAATCTCCTGATACAGCAAGCTATCTAATGCAAAATATTAGTTACTCTAAGATGATGATTATAAGATAAAAACTTAATTCAAGATCTACTGAAAAGTTATACTCCCCTGTTAAAATCAACGATAAGAAAGAAGAATAAAGGAAATCATAGCATTTAAGATATCATGCATATAAATAAAGCAGTATATGTAAAAAATCTAAAAATACATCAACACAATATCAATCAATCGAAAGGCAAAAAAATAGAAGGAATGAAAAGAATAAACCAAACAAGAACCCTCTTGCTCGAACTAAAAGACCCTCATCTTAAAATGATTCAAGCCTCACACTACATCTCTCAGAGCAATGAAGAATTCCACATTCACAAAACTAGAATTTTATTTAAGCCATATTTGTTTTTTTAAATGCCTCAAAACCCTCCTGGTTATAGACATTAGTCATTAGCATTAGATAAAACAAACAGGAAATAAGAATTCAGACATATATCCCACCCGAAAGCCTGATAGGAATCAACAGTAATAGAAAATTTCAGCTCCCGATTTTTTTATTTGATATTTTTCTAATCTTCTTTAGGATAATTGTTGGAACTCCTCGCCATTGAAAATGGCTGCAGGAGTCTATTTGATACGTGAACGTGAAATTAGGAGATGGAATAAGAGAAAAAACAAAGATGTCGGTTAATAATTTATGGTATAGAGTGAAATCAAATAATGCTGAATAATGTTAGAAATTTTTATGAATATCTAATTTAGACCATTAGTCCCAATATAATGCCTGACATAATATGGCTCAAACGTTCTTGTAATTAACTCCTTAAAAGATCCTTTAGAAAATCTTTTGGAATTCAAATGAATCGTTACTTTACCCTTTCTTAATTAGATATATAATATATAAAATGATTTTTTAACACTTCTGGTTAACAGAAAGCTTCTTGCAAATATTTTCATGTAAATCATGCCTAACTATAGATGGATGAATATGATTTGATGCATGCAATGATAATGCTAAAATAATTCTATGCTTCCATGGATATACTGTAGTTTCTATTAAGAGAAGAAGAGGATGAAAAAAACTTAATTTGATATTTCTTAGAAGTTTCATTGAATTCTCTTCTAATAATTTTTGGGGAAGAAAACTATGCAGCGAACACAAACAAGAAAGAGAAAATGCAGCAAAAAAAATAACATGAAAAAACTCAAAACTAGAAAAAAAAAAACACGGAGCTACACCACACCAAGAAATTTACTATAAAAATTTGATAGAAATAGTATAGGCCCCTCTTCTTCTTCTATCACCCTCTCATTGTCTCTCTTCACTCTTATACCATTCTCATACAAAAACAATAAAGAGAATGGACCGAATGGTTTGCTGAGTTTCATAGTCAAGAATATAGTCAGATTTTAATTCAAATTTAGGCTAAAAAATAACCTCATTAAAATTATGTTTCAAATTCATATTCTATTTGAGGTTTAGATTCAAGTATGATGTCTAATTCGATTTTAATTCCATTTTGGTAATTTAAAATAAACTAGTTGCACGGCAATCCTGAGGAATCCAACATAATCTCTATAAAAATCTTGCTCGGAACAATCCAGGATGCAAGCCAGGGATATTTGGTAGAGTTGCAAAGCAGGGACCTAGCAGATTTTGTAACAATATCAGGATGTATTTCAACCACCAGTCAGGTTACCACCTCCTCGAGAGCACGAGCATGCCATCAACTTGATAGAAGGGGCTTCTCCCATCAGTGTTAGACCATATCGTTACCCCCGGATTCAGAAAGATGAGATAGAGATGTTGATTAGGGAGATGATGGAAGCATGGGTCATTAGACCTAGTGTGAGTCCTTTCTCTAGCCCGGTATTGTTGGTGAAGAAAAAGATGGCAACTGGAGGTTCTATGTAGATTACACGACTCTAAACAAAGAAACGGTGCTAGATAAGTTTTCAATTCTTGTGATAGATGAACTCTTGGATGAGTTATTTGGAGCTGTAATCTTCTCCAAAAATTGATTTGAAGTCGGGATACCATCAAATCATGATGAAGATAGCATAAATGTACAAGGTCTTCAGGACACATGAAGGGCACTACGAGTTCCTGGTGATGCCTTTTGGCCTCACCAACGCCCCTGTCACCTTCCAGTCACTTATGAACTAAGTGTTTGAACCATATCTCCTAAGGTTTGTCCTAGTATTTTTTATGACATTTTGAAAAAAGGCATGACAGAGGTAGAACATTAGGAGCACTTAAAGATTTTCATGGAGACATTGAGGGAGCATCAATTGTTTGCCAACTGGAAAAAGTGCACATTTGGGCAACAATCATAGTTGGAGTATTTAGGGCATGTAGTGTCTAGAGAGTGGTGTCAACTGACCGGTCCAAGATTCAAGCCATGGTGGACTAGCCACTTCCTAAGAACTTGAAGTTTGTGAAGGGATATGGTATCATAGCAAGACTTTTAACGAAGCAATTGAAAAAGATAATTCCAAGTGGGGGGAGGAAGCGACCCGAGCCTTCCGGGAGTTGAAGACAGTGATGACCAGTGTACCACTTCCAGATTTTAAGAGACCATTTATGATGGAGACGGATGCATCAGGTTATGGGCTTAAGAGCAATACTCATGCAATATCAAAAGCCTATTGTATACTTCAGCCAAGTGCTTAGAACCAAGGCAAAGCACAAGTCTGTGTATAAGCAGCAACTGATGGCAATCGTCTTGGCTATTCAGAAGTGGCATCCTTATCTGTTGAGGATACATTTAATAGTAAGGAAAGATAAGATGAGCCTGAAGTTTTTGTTGGAACAACAGATGATCATAAAGGAGCACCAGAGATGGCTATCTAAGTTACTTGGATATGATTTTGAGATTCAGTAACGACCATGACTAGAAAACAAGGCAGCAAATGCCTTGTCTAAGAGAGTCGAGAGACCTCTATTGGAAGTCATGTGAGCACCATTGATGGTAGATTTGGAGGCATTAAGATAGGAGAATGAGCAGAATGAAGGGTTGATGAAGATTAGGGAGGAGTTGTTGAAGGATCCAGACAATCACCCAGGTTATGTTCTAAAAGAGGGGCAGTTATTGTACCATGGGAGGTTTGTGTTACCCCGAACCTCAGTGGTATATTCTCAAACTACTGCAAGAGTTCCATGGCAGTGCGCTAGGAGGGCACTCCAGAGTTCAGAAGACATATAGTCGACTACCAGCAAAGTTATATTGGTAGGGATGCATCGCGGTGTAGAGAAATGGGTAGTCAAATGTGATGTGTGCCCAAGGCATAAGTACTTAGCCATGACACCAGCAAGGTTATTACACCCCTTAGCCCTACCAGAGAGAGTGTGGGAGAGATTGACGATGGATTTCATCGAAGTATTACCACGATTGGACGGGTGATCTTGGTAGTAATAGACCGTCTAAGCAAGTATGCACATTTTATCCCTCCGAACCACCCTTACACCGCAGTCGCAGTGGCTACCGTTTTCATTCAAGAAGTGGTACACTTGCATGGGTTCCCAAAATCCATTGTGTCAAATAGATACAATGTGTTCCTTAGCCACTTCTAGAAGGAGCTGTTTCGTTTATAGGGGGTGATATGAAAGCAAAGTACAACCTACCACCCTCAGACATAAGATCAAACATAAGTGGTCAACCGGAGTGTAGAGATCTACTTGAGATGCTTTGTATCAGACACGCCAAAGAGTTGGGCTAGGTGGATTGTGTGGGCAGGATATTGGTACAAAACCTCACACCACTCAGCAACAAATACCACTGCCTAAAGGATTCTCTATGGGAGAGAACCCCCTCACTTGATTCACTGTGGACAGAACATTACACCAGTGTCTGATGTAGAGCAATACTTGGAAGAGATGGATATGATATTATTTGTGCTCAAGGGACAATTGTTGAGAGCCCAACAGATCATAAAAAAGGAAAGTTGATAAGCACCGAAAATAAGTAAACTTCAAGCCAAAAGAGATGGTTTACTTAAAATTAAGGCCCTACAGACATAATACACTAGCAAGGAGGAAGAATGAAAAATTATTCCCATGATACTTTGGGCCTTATGAGGTCTTGGAGTGCATTAGAGTAATAGCCTATCGATTGAGCTTACTACCCACATTCTCTTTGCACCTAGTCTTTCATGTCTCCCAGTTGAGGAAGGCAATCGGAGAACACACACCATCATCACTAACCCCGAACTTGACAGAAGATATGAGATCAGGTTGGAACCCCTTAAAGTAGTAGGTGCGTGTGGAGGGACAAGGGCATAAGAGATGTTAATCAAGTGGAAGGATAGCATGATGCCACGTGGGAACCATACGAGAGGATCAGGACACAGTTCTCATCTTTCCACCTTGAGAACAAGGTGCATTTTGAGGATGGAAGTATTGTTACAAGAGCTACCACCAGAGAGCTAGATCAGCCAGTCCAGCTGAGTTTAGAATAAGAGGGGGTGGACCATATAGGGGCAGCCAAACAGCTGGATTCGGCTCCCCTTGTGGGACCCAACAAGCCTTTAATTCATTATACTATGAGAGAAATTAAGGGGGGAATTAATTAGGGAATAATTCCTAATTGAATTCAAATTTGAGAGGGATTTTTGTAAGGAAAGAAATTTGTTTTGGGGAGAAATAGGGGAGCCTATTTATAGTTTATTCTAGAGTTCATTTTGGTTATTATGTGATTTGTTTTTCTGCTGTAGTTTTTTTTCATTTGGTGAGAGCTTCCTAGCGACGTCTAAATTAAGCGGGGGAGAAGATCTACCTCTCTAATTGTGGATCATTGTATCTTGATTTGGTATTGAAGAAATAATACAAAAACCATCCGTCGTTTCTCACTTTCTGCTGTTTTCACCGCCTTCTCTCATTTATTTCACCATCAAGTCGTATCACCTTCACATGAATTAGATATTTACTTCTATCTCGACTTGGCGAACTTATACATACATCTTTCATCCTCATTAACATTTAATCTATTATTTAAATAACTAAAAACTAAATTATTTGCATCATATATTGTTTTCTTGGAATCCCTCCAGACCATTCTATATCTTTTCCAATTTTTTGAACTTTACATGAAAACAATTTTTATAACAAAAAATCTTATTTTTAATATTTTCTTGCACATTTTGATTCTAGCACCAACTATTTTTATTATTAGCATCTTTTTTATTCTCCAAGTGCATATTTTACAATATTATTAATAACGCTAGCTACTTTTTCACATAATATTAGTTTCCTTATGAACAATCCAAATCTTAAGATCTTGAATCTTACTCCCAAAAATAATTTTATTAGCATTTTTTAAATGCCATCATTTAATCCTAAGATAAAACTTTACTTTATTTTTTTATTTTCCACCTCTTCATCTTAAAGTCTCAAACTAATAAAAGATGTTAGGTACATAAACTTTCACCCATAATTAGTTTTCATTTTTCTTATAAGTGATGAGATATTCCTTTCTTCTCTTAAATAAAGTATTATAATTAGAAAATCATAAGCTATAGTAAAATTTAATATAGTCCTATCACTTTCATTAGTCACTCCAAACATATAGCCACCATTAATATTTTAATATTTTAAACCACTCTACCAATATATCCATTCAAATCTCCTCTAAAAAAACTCTTTCTTCAAGAGTTATATTTTATGTTAATTCTTCTAAGACATTTTAAAATTTTATTTTTGAGCATATATTCAAACCTATTTGAGGAGCATGGGCACTTATAACATTAACAATCTTAGCAGCAATAACAACTTTTAACAAAATAATTATATCTCAAATTCTACTAATTTCTATAATATTATCATTCAAACTCTTATTGATAATCACACCTATATTATTTCTAGTACGACTCATACCTAAATATTAAAATTTAAATCCAAAACTATCAATTAAATGCATAGTGATAATAAATTAATCGCTAAGCAAATAATAATTAGAAACAAAATCTTTAAATCTTATAATATCTAAACACATTATTTACCTTTATGTTTCATTCAACACAATATGGTCTTGTTATAAAAATAGCAGTAGTTCTAATAGGAATTGAAAGACTTTAGAAGAGATGCTAATGTTTTTTCTCTTATATATATAAAGCATAGGAGCAGTAATACTAGGAATATTGTAACATTTCTTAGCCTCTAAAGTTATATATAAAGGTTCATCTAATATCTTTGCAGAATAAAATCTTAATTCATATTTAACTTCTAGTCTAAGGCCTTCAATGAAACATACAGTGATTATAAAAAAATCTCTAAGCAAATAATGTATCATATTAAAACTTATAGTTTTGTTATAAAAATAACACTTCATTAAAACTATTAAGCACGCTCGACTAGTTCTGATATAAGAAATACAACTCTTCATGAATAAAAAAAAATTATAAGTTCGAGAGTAATTTTTTAAGTTATCTAATCAATTTGAAAATTCCCTGAAAGTATACCTCACCTAGAATATATGAATATAATGTGTAATATCAAAATAGTCATGTAGGAATTATATATAATTATAATTAAATTGATTTCAATTTAACTAGATCATTCTATTATTTTGTTAATTAAAATATTTGAATATCTCTTCTAATTGACATTATGCTGCTACTTCAAGCTTCAATATCATATCTAATGTAAAACAATTAAGTGCCATGTGTGGAATTTCTGATACAGATTTATCTAATATACAGGGGAGTGCTTAAGTAAATGAAAAGACTTGTGAAGATTATTATTATAGACTTTTTGAATGAGATGCAAATAATTTAATGAAAAATAAACAGAGAAATCTCAGAAGGAAGAAAATTATCTAACACAAACAAGTAGTTACCACCAAAATGAATTGTAGAAAGATACATAATTCAATTTCTAGAGAAAAATGTCGATCTCCTAAGGAAATCAACCATAAGAAAGAAAATCACAGTATTTCAAACATTATGCATGTAAATGATGTCAAATATGTGACAAACATAAACACAAATTATAATGTCAAGAAATCACCACTTAAAAGGGAGAAGGTAAAAAGAAGAAAAAGGATAAACCAAACAGTAAGCCTCTCGCTTGAATAAAGAGATCAGCTCTCCTATAATGCTTCCAGTCTCAGACTTGATCAAGGACCGAAGTCGCAAAAAGATGAATAGAAATTCATATTCACAAAACAATAAATTGATTTAAGCTAAAGTTGATTTTTTATATGCCTTATTTACAGACTCTTGCACTTGATAAAGCATATAAAAAATAGTCCCAATAGAATATGATGAGTATGCAATCAATCCCACATAACTACAATCCAACAAGATAAAGAGCAATCACCTATAAACTGCATTAGGAATCGCAGAATGCTACAGAACCATTAAAGAATAAATCATTGATAAGAAACAAAGCAGTCCAATTGGAGCCACATAAATTATCCTTTAAACATATGGCTGCACATCTCCAACCCATCTTCAGCTCACACTAAACGTATGAATTGTGTTTCCCATCCTTTCAAATTAATCCTCTCATATTCTCATATACCTCAAACTATTATGATTTTACTTTCATGACAACAAATATAAGTATTGCACATAAATATTTATTATAAGGTAGCTGGATAATCCATTTTCTTTCTTTGTAATTTAAAATTGCATTAGTATTAGAAATAAGCTACAATATAACGACAGCTTAAAAATAAACAGTAAGAATTTAAGAGAAGTACAGCAGTAACAAAACCCCAGTTGGCAACAGGTCCCCAGAAATGTGTCGTTTTAGGGCCCACCGGGCTATTCCAAAATGCTCGAAGTGCTGCCATTGCAACAGGCGCTGCTACTGAACCTGAACATTTAGAACAGGGCAAGAACAATCAGAAAATGAGAATAGAAATGAAGAATATGCCATAGCAGTGTATGCAAAAAAGTGTTAAATCAACCTGGAAACCTATGACGGTTGTAAATTCTCAAGAGAAATGATAAATAGATTTCACAAGCTTGCAATTTAAGAATGAAAGATAGCAAGAATAAGATATAACATTAATTCATCTTCTTGAGATTCTCACAGTAATTTCAATCAAGTACTGCTGAGCAAAATGTCATAAGATATGGCAGTCCTAGAACCAATGGTAGAAGGGAGGCAATATGTACAGCGAAGATAATAAAGGTGAAGGTAGTAGACTGAAAGGAAGATAAAGAAGGTCTATATCTAAACAACACCTAATCCTACCTTTCATCATCATCATTAGCCATATCCCAACTAGCACACTCTAAGAAACTGCATTAGTTAAAGCTCTCTCCTGGACGCCCATTTGCATGGGTCAAGTTAATCAATTCACGATGAGGATCAAAACTGAATTCAATAAACCGTGATCGAGAACCAGCTTAAACCTTCAACAAATTTGAAATCGTCAAAATTGAAGTAGCCTAAAGCATCGAACCAGCAAGTCGCCTCAGTAAATCAATCCTCAATAAAAAGTTATTAAACTCACCCAAGGTACTCACAAAGTCACCCACTAATTGAAACAATCCACCAAAAAAATTCTCCAAATCACCCAATAGAGGTTTTCATCACAAAAACCCGCTGAGGTTGGACGAAGTGAGCTTGAAAATAAAACATGGATATTCAAATATATCATAATCCTAAAAATGCGTTCAGCGAAGCTAGGCTGGATAAGGTGATTGCTTGACATTCTGCAAGGTTCAACATTTCATGCCTCCTCTCAGGACATCAAATTAATATTTTCATTATACTGTGCAGCCCATCCTCCTTTGATGGTTTGGAATTTGTCTTGATACACTTGATGTAGAATAGTATTCTCAATTTCTAGATACTTCTGAGAACATTCTGAAAAATATAGGAATTCTTGATAAGCTTCAATAAGATTCTTGAATTTTTAGAAAATCTTGAAAATTTATTATGTTGATATCGTCCTAGATCATGTAATGATATGATATATCATAAGACTCATAATGATGATATAATTTTGAATATGCGTAGATGGAATAACCATGTGTATAGGCATCATATGATAGTCGAATCATAGGTATGATCATGTGCATAAACATTTGCATGTCTTGAAAATCATTCATGGCAACTATGAAACATGTAATGATTAAACTGATTAGAATAGTCATAGTTATATCATGATTTATTCTAAGAATGAGATTTAATGTAATATGACTCAGTGTAATTATTATATTTATCAGGAGCAGATCTATATGAAGCTTTTGATAATTTCCAACAAAGATTCCAAATTGAGTTTACAGAATTTTGTACTAGTAAGAAAATGTTCCTAATGTATCTTCCAGACATAATTGTTACATCTTTCACAAGACAATATTTATTACTTAAAGTTGTCATTATATCATTATAATTCATGAATGATTCATATGGCATAAGAGGAGGGGGGGCGAGGGGGTGATATGGTTTAACTGCAACTAAGTTCAAGAAATTCATCTATGATACCAAATTGAAGTAATAAGATCGCTTTTATACTAATACAATGAGACCCACTTTGATATCAATTCGATAGTTGATTTCTCCCTTAAACACACTCCCAATTTGAAAGGAGTACATAAAAAGAATAGAAGTAATTTTGCCTAAAGAGGGATCCCGATAAAGAGAATACGTCTATCTTTGGGCTCTATAATCAAGGGAGTCTTGGGGATTGGGAGATTCCTTTGGGATTTGCAATTCAAAAACCACAATAAAGGGAGAAAATTGAGATGAATGAGAAAGGTGAGGAGAGGCAAAGTACGAATAGATTTCAATTTTAAGGAATTTAAAGCTGCATGCTTTGCATCTAAATGCGCATTCATACTTACTAGTTACAAAAAAAAAACACCAAGAAAAAATCAAGTCTGCAATTATTTCAATAGTTCAGTGCAGATTCATCATATCTACAAACTAATAATTATACTACAGAAATTAATCGAAGAATTTATATGCATACCACACAATTCTTATGAATTTACATTAACACCTAAATTTAGATATTTACATATATAACGCTAAGGTATTTTAATCATATCAAAATATATACATTAAAATATCTAATTTATTTCAAAAAGATTAACATTAGTGGTATTTTTATGGGATTTAAAGATTTGGTTATTGTATGAGTAAAAATCAAAGCTTAGGTGTTGGACATGTATATACATAAAAATTGTATGGCATGTATTTAAATCACCAAAATTAATTTTAGGCTCGATAGAATATAACCATTTATATATCTAATTCATGAAGTAAAAAGGCCAAAGAGAACAAAACAATTTTTGGCTGGAGGGGAATAAGAAAGAGAATTACAACTTTCTTGTGCTCTATAATCAAGGGAATCTTGGGAATTGGTAATTTCCTTGGGATTTGCAATTCAAGAATCACGACAAAGGAGAAATTGAGAAGTAAGAGGGAGAGGAGAGACAAAGCAGGAATTGCTTTCAATTTAAGAAATTTTAATGTGCGCAGCATATTAGTGTACATTCATACTAATCAGTTGCAAATAAACTGTCAAAAAAAAAAAAAAAACTGCAATTATTTCAATGGTTTAATGCAAATTCATCACGTCTATAAATTAATCAAGATACTACATATAAATTAATTAGGGAATTTAAATACATGCCATAAAATTCACATATCTTCCACCTAAACTTTGATATTTACTCATAATACTTTAATATCTCAATCATATCAAAACATATGCATTAAACGATATATTTTACTATAGAAAAATTAATATTAGCAGTACTTTTTATATAATTTAAAGATTTGAGTGTTATATGTCGTTTAGATTGCAAGGACTATAAAGTTATTTCATTCGCTTATGTGTTTTTTACTTTAAGATGAAGAGTCAAAATATCAAAAATAAAATAAAACATTGTTCTAGGATTTGATGACGGCATTTAAAGAAAACTAACAAAATTATTATTGAGAGTAAGATTCTAGATCTCATATTTTTGTTTGTGCATGAGAAAACTAATGGAAAAAGTAATTAATGATATTAAGAATGTGCTTTCAAAAGAAAAAGCTCTTAATAGTAAAAATAGTTGGTGGTGAAATTAAAATGTATAAGAAAGGATAAAAAATAAAAAACTTTGTTATAAACATTGGTTTAGATGTGAAAATTAAAGCCCATAAGTAGTTTAAGAGAACAATATGTGATGCAATGATTTTAGTTTTTAATGATTTATATAATATATTAGATATTAAGGAGGACGAAAAATATATGTATAAGTTAACCAAACAAAGAGATAGAACTAGTAAGAATTTAGTTCAAGTGAGGTGCAATAAGGATGAAGAACGAAAAATATTTTTATTAGAAGAGGATACTTTACAAAGATGAATGAGATATTTTGTTAAGATTTTCAATAAAAATTGTGACAATATGATTGACTTTAGTGACCTTAGCACCCTAAATAAAAATAAATATTTTTATTTTTATCGGCGTATTAATACAAATTCTTATTTTTAAGAATAACGATGATGCACAAGAGTATGCGAATTACAGAGGAATTAAATTAATGTGTCATACTTTAAAATTATAGGAGCGAGTTATGGAACGTAGGTTACGGCGTGATACTAATGTTTCTCAAAATCAATTTGGATTCATGTTGGATAGGTCTACTATGGAAACCATACATTTATTAAGAGGTTTGATGGAGAAATATAAAGAGAATAAAGAGGATCTACATATGATATTTATTGATTTAGAGAAAGCATATGATAAAGTTCCAAGAGAAGTGCTACGGAGAGTTCTTGAAAAGAAATGAGTTAATAATGCTTATATTAAAATCATTAAAGATATGTATGCAGGAGCTATTACTTGTGTTCAAACACAAGGTGGTATGACCAAGTATTTTCCTATTTAGGTTGGATTACATCAAGGATCATCCTTAAGCCCATATCCTTTTGTTTTAGTCATGGATGCTCTCACTAGACATTTGCAAGAGGATCTACCTTGGTGCATGCTTTTTGCTGATGATATTCTTCTTGTTGATAAGACTAGAGAGGGAGTTGAAGGTAAACTTGAATTATGGAGGTCAACCCTAGAGTCTAAAGATTTTCGCTGAGATCTAAAACTGAATAAATGGAGTATAATTTTAGTACTAATAGACCTAATGAGGGGATTGTGATTTTGAACGATCAAGTCATTAATAAGAGTACATGTTTTAGATATCTTGGATCTATTGTTCAGAGTGATGGTGAAATAGATGGGAATATTATCAGCAGAATTCAAGTTGGATGGTTGAAGTGGAGAAATGCATCGGGCTTGTTGTGCGATAGAAAAGTCTCCCTCAAACTTAAGGGAAAATTCTATAAGATGGTGGTGAGACCTGCAATGCTTTATGGTGTTGAATGTTTGCCATTAAAAGAGAAGAATAATACTAATTTTAGTGTTGCAGAGATGAGGATGCTTAGGTGGATGAGTGGCTTTACCCTTAGAGATAGGATATGAAATGAGCATATACATGAAAAGATTGGAGTAACTCCAATGGAAGGTAAGATTAGAGAGAGCAGTCTTAGACGGTTTGGTCACATTAAATGGAGGCCTTCCGATGACCCGGTTAGAAAAGTTGAGGTATTAGATTTGACTTATGTTAAGAAAGGTAGAGGTAGACCTAAAAAGACTTGGTTAGAAAATATTAGAAATGATCTTTCTTTATTAGATTTAAATGAGAAATTGGCTTCTAACATGACACAATGATGAAAAAGGATTCATGTAGCCGACCCCACGTAGTGGGACAAAGGCTTGATGTTGTTGTTGGCGTATTAATAAAATCGAAGTTAGAGAGAGTTTAAAGAAAATGAAGCGTGAAAACTATTAGACCTGATGATATTCCAATTTCGGCGTGGAAATGCCTATGAGATGAACGAATTTATTAGCTTACGAATTTTTTTAATATTATTTTGAAGACTATAAAGATGTTATATGAGTGAAAAATGAGTGTGTTGATTCCTATTTTTAAGTATAAAGGTGATGTACAAAATTGTGTTAATTATAGAGGAATTAAGTTAATGTGCCATATTTTAAAACCATGGGTGAAAATTATGAATAATAGGTTACGATGTGATACTAATGTTTCTCAAAATCAATTAGGATTCATGTCTGGTAGGTCTACAATGGAAGATATACATTTTTTGAGAGGTTTGATGAAAAAGTATAGAGATAATAAGGAGGATCTATATCTGATATTTATTGATTTAGAAAAAGCATATGATAAAGTTCAAGAGAAGTGCGATGAAGAGTTCTAAAAAAGAAATGGGTTAATAATATTTATATTCAAGTCATTAAAGATATGTATGCAGTAGTTGTTATTTGTGTTCAAACATAAGGTGATTTAACCAAATATTTTCCTATTTAAGTTGGATTACATCAAAGATCAGCCTTACGCCCATATCTTTTTGCTTTAGTCATGGATGTTCTTCCTAGATATTTGCAAGAGGATATACCCTGGTGTATGCTTTTTGCTGATGATATTCTTCTTGTTGATAAGACTAGAGAGCGAGTTGATGGTAAACTTGAACTATGGAGGTCAACTTTAGAGTAGGTTTTTGTTTGAGTATATCTAACACCACATCATTCGCTTCTCTTTTAATGCTTTAGCATGCAAGATACTTATTCAAGCACAAAAAATGATGTGATTAATCATAAATACTACAAATTTATATGTTTTCTAGCTGCACAAACTAATTCAAAACAAAAATAAAAGAAACCTAGGTTTTCATTCATACCCGATAAAAAGAAATGGAGCAGAATGTCGCACAGCTAAAGATAAAAGAAGACGAATGGTCCTCCAGCAAGTGGCGGTGGCTCACTAAGAACTGAGGCAGACGCCATCTAGTTGCCGCTGTGTCTTCCTATTCCAAGTGATCGCCGTGGGCAATGACCGATTCGAATGTAAAATAGAGGCATGAAATAATTTAATATTTATTTATTGCTTGATAAACATTGGATTTGGCTGATAATTTCAAATTTTTAATACAAACTTTTTAGTTATAATCGGTGAAATTTAAAAAATTTAAATCACATATTTGATTATCTTATCTCTATTTAATTTTTCTAAATTGTTATGATTATTTTGAAAACCAATTTGTAAAATACTAAATTTTGAAGATATTTATACTCAAAACTTTATTTTCCATATAAATCATTAAAATATATCTTATCTTTGAAAATAAATTAATAAAATTAAATATAATTATATCAAATATGAAGACTCTTAATAATAATAGTAATCATTAAATTTATTGCATGTTAGAACATTTCACAATAGAGTGAAACAATTTAAGGCCTTAATATTATATGGAGATCTAGTGTACACAAATAAGAGAGAATTAAAAAAAAACATCTATACATGTGAAGCCCAAAATGAATATATATATATATATATATATATATATATATATTATAGTTTGGCCCAACTGATATGATTCCACTAATGTTTGTTATTGATTACATACAATGTAATGATATCATTTCTCGTGATTGAGAAGGTTGTTGCTGATATAGCATAATAGACATAAATTATATCAAATGAAATCCATAATGGAAGCTGGAAGTGTCTTGTAGCACAAAAGTGATATTTAAGAGATTATTTGTAGTATATTTAATTGTAGTCGTCTAAAAGTGAGATATAATAAACTAAAAAGTCTAGCGTAAATATTAATATTTACGTTAGGATTCAGAGTTTGTATCGACTGCGTACATCCGTTTTTTTTTAACGGTGATGTGCATTGACGTTATTGGGGATGATAGATTGCAAAATTGGAAAATATTAGTGTGCTCAGGCGACAATAGTCATAATATCATATTCAAGTGACACTATTTGACAAATTATAATTGGGCAACAGTTATTTAAAACGTAGTAATGAGGTGACGATGGTCGAATGACCATAGTAAAGTGATGATAGTCGAAAGATCGTAGTCATGTGGTCGTAGGGATGTCAAAATCGGACTAAACCTGAAACCCGACCCGGACAATTCTGGGTTCAAGTCAAGCATTTGCAATACAAGTCAGGTTCGAGTTTGAGATTTAAACTCATTTATAAAATCGAACCGCGTGCGGGTTGACCTGAAAACCCAAAATCAACCAAGGTTAACCCAGGAACATCACGCGTGAGTGGCATTCACGCTAGTCTGTGTCGTTGTCACCGTCCCGTCCACACTGACCTCGTCTCATCGAGTAACCGAGTCTGACAAGATGGCATCTCGTCGAGTGTCGTTGACCGCGTCGATGCCACCGCCGTTGCCATTGTTCCATCCTCGATAGCATGCTCGACCTCTACCGCAATCACTGCCACCACCTTGTCCACTGGCGGGGTTGCTTTTCATCTTCTTCCTCCTGTAATGTGCCGTCGATGACGTTCCTTTGGCTTCAAGTCAGATTCTTCAGAACTTCTCCTTCAAGGCTTCAACGATGTTCCTTCATGTGGGGTCAGAAGTCACGACAGCTCGCTCGCCATTCTTTTGTTGGATCAGAAGTAACGACGACGACAAGAAGGAGCTCGTCGTTCTCCCATTTGTGCGCTTCTTCAGTCGAATCTCGCAAGTTTCAGGAGGTTTCGTGCAGTGTCGGGTCAACCCGGCAACCTGGCAGTCGGGACTGGGTTGCATTTTTTGACCCGTTTGCAAAAACGGTACTAGTTCGGCTCGTGTTAAATAGTTGTGGGTCAATATCGGGTTCGACTAAACCCGACACGTGACCCGATTTTGACACCACTATGTGGTGGTGCTCAAAAGACTATAGCTTGAAAATGGTGGTCTAACTATGTATGTCGGGAAGTGGTCTGATTGTAGTACTCAAGCAATGATTTTTTATAGAGGTGGTTGGGTAGCATTTCAATGACAACATTCAAGTTGTGGTTTAATGAAAACAATTGGGCAGTGATCTAACGATGATGCTTGAGTAGATATATAGGATTCTTAAAGCCTTCGAACTTTCTTAAATCTTAATTCAAGATCATTCATCTCATTTAAGCAGTGATGACTTATTTATATATTTTTAATAGTGTCAAGCCCCATAATATAAAAAATAAAATAAAAAACTTAATCATATGGATCATATTAATTCTCTTGTTCATGAAAAATCTTTTTCATATTTAGATGCATTAATTCTTCTCATTGAGATATATGTTTTAACTATAAATTTGTTTAAATCAAAGTTCAAAATAAAGTATTGAGATTCGTCATTTTTATCAAAGTGACCTTTTCTGATTATTAAAAAATATATAAATATTTAATATCATGTGATGATTTTATATGCACGCCTTACTATCTGACATCATGTTTCTTTCATGCCTCACCAATCCTCTTACTTATTAAGAATTGCAATATATCAACTTTCTTATATATATTGTTTGTCCACTACCAAAAAATAGGGCTATCGCAGTACAAATTTAGACTTTTTTCCGACGGTTTTACCCGCCACAAACTTGCTAGCAGCAGTTTTAAAACCGTTGGTTATTACTAAATTTTGAAATTTATAATATTACTTACAAAACATTTAAAATTTATGCTAGTCTACAATATATCTAATTTACTACCATCCTTGTTTTATATATATATATTATTGAAATTACTTCTAATACATAAACTATAGCATCAACTCCCATTTATCAACACACTGAAGGTTGATCAACCTGAACTCTGTTGATTGAAAAACTCTATATGAAACATTCATGTTATGAATATGCTTGGTCATTTTACCTAAACACTCCTAGGGATTAGATTAGTTAATCACCAAGCTTCTAGTGACGTGGATATATGGAAAATGAATGTGTAGCCTATTGTGAAGCTCATATGTTGAGTAATAACCCACAAAACTAAATTTTTATAAGTGGGTACTAAAAAGCATGCAGGTGTTTGATTCTATTTACCCCTTTCTTACTATTTATAAGAAAGGATCAAGAGCAGTTCAATCATATGAGGAGATTGTCAAGTCATCATTTAGAATTTCATAGAGAAACAATAATCCCTAATAATCTATACTATATGATCGTTCATGATTTTTTTTAGCTCAATGTTTCATACAGTTCGTGATCACCACGAGCTTTCATGACCTCTGCTATGATAATGCTAGAATCAACCTACAAAAAACATTGTAAGAAATCCACAATTTTACCTTGTCTTCCAAGTTTAAGACATGGCAAAAATTTTATTCATGTGACAAAAGTCTTTAGTTAACTGAAGCATGCTTGGATAATCCTTCTAGTACTTTTAAACCTATATAGCTTCAATGAAAAAAAATGTCAATGTAGTCACAATCTTAAAAATTTAATGCTTCAAATGTTAAGATACAATATTAATTTAAATAAATTAAACAATGGCAACAAATCATCATTTGCTAGAGCTCCACACAAGAAGCAATTAAAACAATGATATAGTGTGGAAAGCATATACATCAAAGTCTTCTTGAAAATGCAAAACACTAATTGCAAATCACTAAAATAAATATATCAAACAAAAAGAAGAATGAGAAGAAGAGGGAGAAGAAGAATAATAAAAAGAATAACGACAAGAAGAAGAAGAAGAGGAAGAAGGGGGAAGAGACTCACACCGAAGAAGGTTCGACTGGAATGGGTCTTCGCGTGAGGAAAAGAGCAAGCAAGATGCGCGCGGACGGGCCTAAAGGCCGGTGTGCTTCTAAGACAGAAGCTCGGTGGTTCGCTCCGATCGCGAGCTAGGGCTTCAACATCGTCGCACGCACGAAAGAAAAGAGTGAAGATGAAAAACCGCGAGCTATATCATATTAAATTTGGGAATTAGGAATTCGGTTCAAGGGCTGCTCTTGGTTCAAATTGCACCGGATTTGAACCGATTTAAACCTCTGATTTAAACCTGCAAATTCGTGATTTAAAACCACTATTAATAACTGCTGCAAAAAATCTTATTTTTTTATGGCTAGTATTCCACATGGCCATGACTATGTGCACACATATTAAGCCCCTGTTACATAATGAATTACTCTAAGATTTTGGCTTATTTTGGGAGGTTTTTTTATTATTTTTTAAAACAGCTAGAAAGTCACTTTAGAAAATAATAAAAAAATTTGCCTCAAATAAAGCTTTGATAGTTGACCACAAATTATTTTTTAATTATTTATCTTAAGTATTTCTCCTCGATTTCGTTTGTAATAGCTTTCTCACTGTTTTCTAAAACAATATTCTAGTATAAAAATTTATAATTAAAAAACTTCTTGAACTATAAATTTTTATGCTTGAAAGTTATTTTAAATAATAATAATAAATATGTCCCGAACAAAATCTTAACCTAAATTATGAATATGATTATTATCATTTTGAATGTAGTTATTGAAAATTTGAAGATAATTATTTGTATTATTATTATTATTTTTCAAATTACAACAAACTAATTGATGGATAATCATATGTTAATGTTTCTAAGAGATAAGTTGTTTATGAGTATCATGTAACCCATCTAAGAATTGTGTTATAATGATATGATGATAGTAGTAATGACAGTAATTCAATATGTGGTTATATGAATGCTAAACATGTACATGATATGCATGAGTAGACATGCATATTGATAGCAGTACCGAGCTTTGATTTCAGTTGTAGGCTTTGGTGACCTGCTGGGCTATTTAAGCTCATTATATGTGGTTAACAATTTTAGGTCTGAGCAAGGCAACTGGAATAGAGTTCGATCAGAATGTCAGACGAATCCTTTCACTATGGATGCCTGGGTCGTCACAGTCGTGTTTGGCTTTCTTAATTTTTTTTCATATTTTTTGGGCACTGTTGAAATTTCTTATGAAATCGGCACATATGAGTACAAGTGGTGTTTTGGGGACCGTCAGGTGTCCGTTTTACAAATTGATGTCACCAGAATGTTCTAAATAAATAAGTTAATTTATGAATATTTTTTTTGTAATTTTTGCCTAAAGTAATTTATATGAATTTTATATTAAAAAAATTAGTTCTAATAATATTAATATATATTATTTAATTAAAAAATAAAAATATATATAACCATTATGACTTTATTAGCAATTTTCCTTTGCTTATTTCGTTTTTCACGAAATAGAGAGGAAGCTTAGGCTTTTAGGAGAGAAAGAGAGGAGAGAGGAGGAAAATCGGGTTTTGGACAACTTCGGATCGTTTTCGTTCGTCAACATAGTTAGGAAAGTTATTCTTCTCGAGGTAAGGAACATAATGTTCATCTCAATTTTCAAAACTGTGTAAGTTTTAGCGAATATTTCTATTAAAATTTTGTATCCGTTAGCGAAAAACAGGGATAACTTTGCACCCGTAAAAACTTTCACTGCGTAACTTTTTGTATGTTGTAGATATTATGATTATGCACATTTTGAATATTTTCTAAAAAATTTTCACACGGGGTTTTGAAATTTGCAGGGTTTTTAGTGAATAGAAAATTATCGAAAAGTTGAAAAATATTGTTATAGTACAATAAAAGTTTTAAAACGATATTTTACACAATCTCTGATAATTTAATAAATTTATGAACATGTGCATTTTTTCTGGTTGGATTTTCTTTTGTCTACATTTATACAATACTGTGATATTTTGATACATGCTTAGTTAATCTTTAATTATTATTATATGATTATATATGTGCATATGTGATTAAATTATAAATGTTAGGAGCCATAAGGGGTCATAATCTTTTGAGATTTTGTATGTGTTAGGGAATTTCTATGAGTTATAAGGGGCTTAAATCTTTTGATATTCTATCTGAGACAGGGATATCTGATGTATGCTAGTGCTACAAGCATAATTAAAAAGGGAGTCATAAAAGACCATAATCTTTTGAGATTTTGTCTAGGTCTATAAAAAATGATATAAACTACTATATGATGTGAATTTCAATTTATTTATCTGCTATGTATTGTTATCTGAATCATAGAATAACTACAATGTATTTATTACATTTTCTAATTTTGTGATTTTCAGTTTAGTGATTTATTTAAATTGTAATTAACTATTTTTAAATATTAATCAAAATATTTGATAAAAGAATATATGAAAATTTAGATTGGTTTGTGTGGTTTGCCGAGTTATTATAGCTCGCTGTGATTTTACTTATGATTTTCAGGATATGGGGAGGGGAAGAGGTTATGGACTAGTTGCTCAGGATCTGATTTGAGGTCATAGATATTTTGCTATTTTGATTTTTGTACAATCATGTCTAGTTAAATTTTTAGTTATGTAGCTCTTGCATGTAGCAATGTAGTGTATTGTATATATTTATTTTGATGAATGAAAGAAATTTTATAAATGAGTTCTTTTAGTATTTGGATATTTTAGTATCTCTGTAATTCGTCATTATTTCAATGAATATCAACAAAAAATCTGAAATAATTCTAAACTAGATATTGGGGTTTGCCTGTCACAGTTCAATATAATATAGGACATGTCCTGATGGGATTGGGTTGTGACAGTTTGAATGTTTATAAAATTTGAAATTTTCCCTCAGGGCACCACGGTGTCAGGTTTGGCGTCACCATAATGGAAGTAAGTTCTATCAAACTTGCATTAATTTAGCACTATGTCGCACGATGGGTGTTGGGACGCTATGGGTTTTCTGAAGAGAGTCATGGCCAATCTCGTCTGGTGCTGCGGTGTCAAACCAAATGTCAATATTGAAATATATAAATCCATTATTTCATCAACTCCTTTTCCCTTAAACAACGAGCATTGGTGAGAGATAAAATATAATTCCCAAAATATTCATGTAAATGCAAGTATACATTTTCTTTAATTGTTAATTAAAGCATATGGTACTTATGAAGTTAATTTTATATGCATAACTAATATAAGAAATAACTGTTACATATGTCACAAATTTTTTTTCCACAAGAGCCTCTACATTCCAGTAATCAAGCCATGCATTGCTTGGATTAGATCCTACGGCTGAGAATTTTTTAGAAGCCTGTAGTGGGAAAAACACTAGAGATTATAATATAAAGTAATATGAATAAAAAGCATTAATCCTATAGTGGGTTGGAATTTCCCTCAGTCATGCAGCATTAGTATTCTTCTCTCATATTTCATCAGCTGACTTATGGTGCGAAGGAGCTACAGGCTGTGGAATGCTATGGGAAAATTTCCATAATTTTTTTATAGTAAATTAAGATAAGGTAAATTAGACAAATGTTTTAGTTAGTGGTTGAAAACTTTATTTGGTTGAAATTAAGTGCATATTGTTATTTATCTAAGTAAGGTTATTACTTTTAGTTGATATAAATTCAAGAAACAATAGGGGAAGTACTATTGTTTGCTGATGGTAGTTAAAAATAGGTTAAGACTGAAATGGTAGTATAAAACATTAAAGAAGTTGACTTAGAATGAAATGAAAAGAATTTTATGGAATGAGAAAGAGTGTGATTGAGATTGTATACAATAGAAAAGGAAGACAAAGTTTATGAGAATAAAATTCTAGTAAGGTGAGATACCAAAACAAGATTATAAGAATTAATAAATATTTTATTATTGCACTTCATCTTTATTATGATTATGACCACATATTTATGTTGATTTTAGTTATTTTGAATGAACATGAGCGAATATGTATGAAATTATTTATTTATAGAGTAATCTTTATCAATGTTAATGATTTCGTGGACATAAAAGAATAAATATTCATAAACTAATGAACGAGCAAAATGGAAGCTAAAGTACAACTAAAGTGCATCACAACTAAGGGACATCTAAAGCACAACTAATATGAAGCACAGCTAAAGGGTGGCTAAAACACAGCTAATGATCAACTAAAGGACAGATAAAAGACAGATAAATGACAACAAAAGCGCAGCTATATCATCAAAAACATATGTCATTAGGGCTAAAAAGGATGACTATTTATAAAGTGAAATAAGTTATATATATATATTGAGGATATGCCCGCACAAGTAAAGACAAAAGACCCGACGAGATAAACCTGCACTCTCAATTCTATAAAGTTGAGAAATTTGACTCAACCCTGAATGAGAGAACAACTTTCATTCTAAAAATTGGGAAGTTTGACCAACCTTGAATTGGAAAGCTGAAAAGGTACAAATGCTTATAGTCATTACATAACTTGTTTAAAGGTGTTGAATAGTTTTGGCAATGTGAATAATACTGCTAAGCACTTTTAGGCGTAATATGACATTTTAATATGTGTTTTAACTGTGTTAGCATTGTTAAGTATTTCTTAATTGTTTATTTTTTTATTATAAATTGCTTGTGTATTTCATTGAGCCTAACTCATTAGTTGTGGTTGTACAATAGGAAAGAGAAAGGAGTCATTGGGACAGTAAAAAGAGGTGATCATTCTTTTGGTGTAAATATGTTTTGGATGTACAAAGATATCTAAAATGAGATTTGAATGCTTGATGTATAGACTTTTGGGTATGTAAATAAATTTTAAAAGTTTTAGTAGAACTTTGTATTTACTTTAATTATATTTAATGTTCATTAAGAGACATTATATGCTTCCCGTTATTAATTATGGAATTTGACAGGGATTTAAAATAATATTTTGCATAATCCTTGGTAAATTTGTTATATTATGAAATGATGCATTTTCTTACAGTAATGCATTACGCAACTTACAATTACAGTAATTTGTGAAATTCTATAATGAGTTTATGTACGCTTTCATTGCTATAATGCAATCAAATATGTGTTTGTGTTATTTAATATGGTAATATTGAAGAATTTAATGTGACATCTATCTATTAAGAGTTGCAAATGGGTTAGAATCTGTGGATTTTGTTTAAGAAAGGGGAAATTATTTATATTGAGAGTTATTCCTGCTCGATATAGTTATTTATTGTGTTGTATTTAAATTTTCTTATAAATGCCTAATAAATGAAATGTCTGAAAATTTAGATCCATATTGTGACTTGTTCAGTTATGTTAACTCATAGATGTTTTATTTTGTGTTTTTAGGTTTTGGGAAAACGAAAGAGTATGTTGATTAGTAGTTTTCAGGATTATGATCTTAGTATTTATTTATTTATTTTTATTTTGGCACAACCATGACTGATTTTATTACTTTGTCATGTAGTTTGATTTGTAGTCATGCACTATAATAATATATACTTTCTTATGATAAATGAAATATTAATTTTTATGGATGAGTTTTTTTTTTAAGTACATTGGATGTTGATAGTATCTATATTTTTATTATTGTTTTAAAGTTTATATTTGGAATAAAATTTTGAAATTTTTTTATAAACTAGATAATGGGATTCACTTGTCTCAAGGCAACATGATTAGGGGTGGATCTAGTCTAATTTTTTAGGATGGACAAACTCATCATATAAAAAATGTATATATATATATATATATATATATATATACACACACACACACACACACACACACAAAGTCTTATATTTCATTATAATTTATACATAAAAAAACAATTAAAAGCTTTGCATTTTATTTTACATTTTATGATAATGTTACATAATGACTTAATTATGAATAAAGTCAAATACTTCATTCTCGATGTATGACACTAGACAGTCATGAACTATGCATCACCCATTATACTATGAAATCGATGCTTGATAATTTTTATTGGAGAAAATGCTATGTAAATTGTGGTAGTATAAACTAGTAAAGTTAGTACAAAAAATAATAAGTTTATAAATCAGGGAATACACAATATTCTTTTAGGCCTTTATGATATGTTTTACAAGAGCAAAAGTGCTAGTCAAAGATGTAAACTCATCGCTTGTATGTATATCAATAACATAAGTTGATAGATGATGTTCAAGAGACATGAGATCAACCATAAAAAATGTTGGATACAACTGTGCAAGACAAATTAACTTTCCATTATTATTAGTATAAAATATATTATTTGGGTTTAAATAGTCAGTTGCCGAGCATAAGTCCAACAATAATTGGAAGCTCAGGACATCATTCGGTGGCCAAGCGGAAGTCTGACGTCAATCCGGTGACAGTTGGTGGCTCAACGGTGGACGAGGAGTTTAGTGGCAAGAGAACTCTTATTTCCCTCTCTTCATTGCTTCAATCCCCTTCCACAACGAATGAGTGGTATATTTATAGTTTTCAGAGTGGCATGACAAATAAATAGGAGGAAGATCAATGGTAAGTTGGGAGTTTGTTTGAATAAATGATCGATATTGATCCCTTTAATTGTAAACCATTTATTAGGCATTTGAATGTCTTAATGATATTAGAATTCGACGACCTTAGCCCCTCTGGATGTCTCATCAAGCCGCTTGATTCGGCTATAAGCATGTTATGTTTGGAATTCGCTTTGGCAATATGGATTATGGTTTGAACCTTCCAAAGATGCTTTGAGTCTTTGATTTGGGTCCATTTGGTCGCAGATTGAGTTTAATTTAGAGTTGTTGGGATCATCTTTTAGAGACGTTCAATTCTACTGTAAGTTTGACGAGATCGAAGTTCATATGATTCATATCACAAGCTTTGAACTTGATATTATCTCGAGATTCGTGCCCGATCAAGATAATTTTTTTGATGATATATCAATAATCATATAGAATTTACCGCGCGGCCCGACGCTAATAAAATGACGCCACGTGCTCTTACTTTTTTACCGCGCGGCCCGACGACCTGACCCGGAACGGAAACCCGATATTGCTATGTTCGTGTATTGCTAGGTATTGCTTGACAATAACGAGAAATACCGCTTTGTCAAGACTAAGACCGAGCAATACCTAGCAAAACCGGGGTATTGCTAGGTATTGGTCTTGACAGAACGGTATTTCTCATTACCGAGCAATACCGAGCAAAACCTAGCAATACCCTGGTTTGTACAAATCAGCTAATACATAACAATATTGAGTTCTGATTCGGGTCGGATGTCGGGCCGCACTGTAAAGAGTAAGAACATGTGGTGAGATTTTATTGACCTCCGGATGTAGAGAGCTACGTCAGATGTCCGGATCTAATAAAAATTCCCTTAAAACAGAGGACTAGGGCAAGCAAACGAATAGCAGCCGATGGATCGTTCATCAGCGCATGGTCCTCTTTCCCGCTAAAAACCGGTCGTCACTCTCATTTCCCGCCATAAAGAACTTTCGGCGGTATTTTTCATAGTTGTTGAAGAGCTAAAACTTCTGCCGATATTCTGCTTCTCCTCTATTTACTTTGTATTCTCTTGCCACTGTCTCTTGGTTTGCGGTTCGAAGGATCCGCTGCAATGGAAGTCAACGAGGATGTGATGGCTGCGAATAAGCGCGCCTTTCTGAATTTCTTGGACGAAGATGTATGCTTTTGCTTCTTCCCACTCTCGAATTTATTTTCCAACCCGAAATATTAATATTTTTGATCGATCCATGTATTTTTGGGTGATTTGTTTTAGGTGGGTAAGGGATTTTACATGAAGGCTATAAGGGATATGGTCCAGAACAAGCGCTGTCGCCTTATTCTCGGCATGGATGATATACGCAGCTATAGTCTGGACCTTGCCCGAAGGTCAAATCCCTACCTTTTGTTACTAGCTTGGGCTTTGGGTTTGTTTATTTTTACGCTCCTTTGTGTTCTTCAGATTGATTCGGAATCCGGGGGATTTCATACAACCAATATCCGATGCCCTAACGGAAGTCACACGAAATGTGGACCCGAAATACCTGAAGGAAGGGGAGAGAGTGCTCGCGGGATTTAGCGGACCCTTTGGTTTCCACAAGGTTACGCCAAGGGATCTCATGTCCTCATTCATCGGATCCATGGTTTGTGTTGAAGGGATCGTGACCAAGTGTATGTCATCATCATCTCACTCTGCCTGTTTGCAAAAAAAACAAAAGAAAAAAGGAAGAAGATCGGTTAAATTGTTTAATAGATTAGCTTATCCGTGTCTAATCACAACCCTTTCTAATTGATCATTGATTAAGGTCTCCTGTCACCTAGACTTTTTTTTTTCCTTCTTCTATAGTATTGAAAATATATGATGGATTAGTAGTTCTCCTTTGGAAAACTTTTCCACAATGATATTAAAAACTGGCTTTAGAGGTACCGCTGAGCAATGCATTGGCTTTGAGCATTGCTTGTTTATGGAGCACAAACTTGCAATAAAGGCACAAAGCACACTCGTTGCACCACTTCGGCATGTGGCATTATAGCATTTTGCATTTAGTTTTGAATCAGAATGAAATCCTTATTTAAATTTGATGCTACTTAAATTCTATAGCCAAGTAGGAGAACACTAGGAAGGCAACAAGATACTTACTTTCAATAAACATAAGCTAACACCAACAGAATGAAACTTAATAGTAAATATATATAAGTAAATGATTAGAAAATTTTGCAAAGAAACAAATTAAAACTTAAATTTAACTACCCTCAAAACAATCTAGAAGGGTTGCCTCACATGCAAATCACTAAAATAGAGAATGAAGCCCATAAGAAAAACAAACAAGTGGATTGCCACATAAATTATGATCCAGCTCAAGTTGGGGCTCCTTCAGCAAATACCAACAAACGGGGAACAACAACACATTATACTCGCAATATTTGGAGTAGAAAGATACAAGTGGAAGGGAAACCATGAAGAGAAGAAATGTATAGAAGACCTAGAAGAAGAAATAGGTGTAGGAAGAAGATAGCTCTCAAGCTAGGAAGAAAACCCTCAGGTTTGAATTCATTTTCACCAGCAACAACTCCCTTACAGCAGCAAAGCAACCATATTTTATAGGAGAAGAAGCCCTAATAACCCACATAAATGTTCCACCCAACTAGCCAATAGAAGCCAATCAATACATCTACTTTTTGAGAAGATAAAACATTATTCTAGGAATCAAAAAGGAGGGAATTGAACGACCAGCAACAGGGAAACCAAAGACTGCTTAGAAAACCAACAACCAACCAACATGAGAATCTGAGCACCAAACCCAAGTACGATCATGGGTTGATTTCCATCATAGGGCACATAAAAAAAATATAGTCCAAAACTACATAGCATCCAAAACATAAGAAAATAAAATACAAAATATAAAATGATAATTTTCCATTGCATCAAAATATCATGTTTTGATGAACATTTGTAGCAATAAACCAGCACGATCATTTGTTTCTTCCCATAATTTGTCATAGTGATCGAGTTGTTGCTTATTGTTTTTCTATTATCTTCCGTTAATGGTATTTGCTTCATTGTGATCGTTGACACTCTTTTCCCTATTGATTTTTTAATATTTTTTCTTGCTAGTTTTTGTTTATTGGGACAGCAACATCTCACTCAAAGTTTATTTTTAAGAATGCTTCTTGAAGCTTCATATGCACACTCTTTCGCTTTATAATGCTTATAGTTCTTGTTCTTTAGTTTGTTTTTAAATGTCATAAATATTTTTATTTTTAAGACTTTGATCATTATTTTTTTGATTGTAAAAAAATATTATTATTTAACATATAATTAAATTGCTAAAAAATATTCTCTTATATTGTTTAATCATGATTTATTTAAATAATTATTATATGAAGGCATTTTCGAATAAGTCTAGACATTATGAGACATTTTGTATACAACATATTGTACTAACATATTTGATCTTTAGAAATAGAAATTTATCACCATGTGTTTAGAGCGGATGATAGAGAAATGATGATGAACTCTACCAAGATTCATATGATTTCGTCGTTTCGGGTTTTAATAGTCTCTAGTCTATTTAGTTAGAGGGTGGCTTTCGATCCAATCTAACTGAAAGATCTTTGTCGGCAGCCATATATTATTTTATGTAAGTGTATCTTGTAGACTTGGGTGAATACTTTTTAAGGAATAAATTCAAGTTGACTTATAGCTTTTAAAAGGCTTTGTGCTCTATCAAGTGTAGCTGTTAGGGAACATGTGGGTTTTAGCTGTTGGGGAACATATGAGTTTTGATTTTGATCGTTTATCTTGTAGTGCTATTGGGCTAAGCCACTGATTAGAGGGCCTCAATTATAACTATTTATCTTGTGGAGCTATTGGGCCAAATCATCAGTTATGGGAGTCATTCGGCCAAACAACCGATTAGAAGACATGTGTCATGTTCTTACTAGAAGGTTGTTTGAGAATGGATCTTAGTGATATTTTCGATCGTATATTTGCTATTTGTAAGTTGAAGTTATTTTTGAATTTATAACCCTTGCCAAACAATTAAGAAGGGTGGATCAAATTTTTTTTGAATTTTTTTGGTGATTAGTTTCAATTTAAATATTTAAACTTTGATAGATATTAGAATTTTTATAAATTTTGATAATTAATTCATCCAGTTGAGATTTACTTTTAATAAGTTCATGATTGAAGTGACATCGAAGTTAATTGAAAAATGTTTATGTTTTATCAATGTTTGTAGGCATTTAAAGAAATAGGGTTCCCTTCAATTAAAATTCACCTTCAACATGCCCATCATTGGAGATGGCATTAAATTCATTTAACAAATATTTATATTTTTATTGGGGTTAAGAGGCATTTAAAAAGGTAAGATTCTTTTTGGTTAAGATTCATTTTTAATACGACAATTATCCAAAATTTAAATAATTTTTATTTTTTGTTATTTGAACATTGTTAATTATGTTTGCTTGTTAATAGATGATCGAGTTAAGAAGTGGGAGCATGCTATAGGTGGAGGCGTGAGGAATCTAATTAGTTTGGCTTGGGGTTGGAAGAGGGTGTTTGTGGCTAGATTAAGCAAAATAGTTGAGAAGCGGTTGTTTGTAGGCAAGGGAGAAGACAAGGCGGTCGACTACTATTGGGAGAGGTGTTTGGGTTATGAGTAGGTGAGGGCTGTTGTGTGTGTGATATATATAGCTAAGGAGGTTGGGGGCTTGGGGTGTGTTGAATTGAGAAGAAGAGGGTGAGAGAGAGTTGTGAGTTTAATTATTATATTAATTATTTTAAAAGGTAAAAAAAAAGTGAATAAATTCCTCACATAATTACTCACTTTTTTGTCCGTCTCTTTTGCATGTCAACGCTTTGTGCTTGGGCAAAATTTGCCTTTTCGCTTGTGCGAATGAGTTTTTTTTTTATTTTGAGTAATTTTGACGTTCCAGATGCAATGACAAAATTTGTTTCGCGAATAGTTGTCTTCCGACCAACCTCGCACAACATTGCACCCATGGAACATCGATTTTGATCATCGTTGCTTGAATTGGTTACGAGGGATCATTCTTGGGTAATTTCAATGTTCAAGTGCAACCATGCAGCCTGTCTCATGATTGGATGCAGTTTGGGCAATTTTGTGTGGTATCATGCTCACCAATCGTCGGTTTCATCACTTGATTATTTTGCATGCAAGCAACCCCTTTGGGATATTTGGCCCTCTAAATACGTAGATGCTTCACGTTTAGAAAATGGATGAAGTTTGAACGATTTTGAACGACGTCGAAGCATTTTGGGCCCATTATGCTTGACATCGTGTTTGTTGATTGTCATTCTTGTTGTACTCATTTGCACTAGTTGCAAAATTTGTATGGAGGTCAACTTCATCCTTACAAGCATCTTATATTGTCCTTGCCCTAAGTCCCGTTCTTTGAGTTTGTCCCATCTTGCTTCTTATTTTTTACTCTAAAAGTACTTGACAATAGCGACTTAAAAGGGAGTGTTAAGAGGAAGTTTGGTTGCAGTGCACTTGAATCATTATTGGAGGAGTAAAAGTTCAAAATAGTCCTTCGACTATTAATAAATGCTCTAATTTAGTCATTTGGCTATTAGAAATATTTCAATTTGGTCTTAAGGCCAAAAGTAAATGTTAAAGTTAATCTCAATAATTAAATATGAGAACATTTTGAGTATTAGGATATATGTTATATTATATTATTATTTTTATAGAGTTATTATATATCTTATTAAAATAAATACAAAAATCACAATGAAAGTTAGTCACATTTATTAATTATTCACTCTTATTATTTAATTGGTTAACTTTCATTTTGATTTTTGTATTTATGTTAATATGATAAATAATAAAAAAATATAAAAAAATAATATCACCTATATCATATACCTAAAGTGTCATCACATTTAACTATTAGAGTTAATTTTAGCTATTTCTTTTGGCTTTGGGATCAAATTGGGATATTTTCTAATAGTTGGTGGATTAAATTGGGTCAACATAAAAGTCTGAGATTAAATTGGTCTTTTACTAATAGCCGAGGGGCTATTTTGGGCTTTTAATCATTATTGCAGCAAACACTTGGTTGTTGCAACCTCTTTGCCATTTAAACTTAAGATCAAGAGAGGTTTATATAGCACTTATTTGCTTTGCCAACACCATTTGTCATATGTTAATGGGATTCCTTATTCTCAAAGAGCCAATGTTGTTTGAACCACCAATCTCTGATTTTTTTTAGTGATTATAATTATCCAATTTGAATAAAATTTAGGCATTAATTTGTTTATTTTAAATTATGTTCAAATGTGCGCTTGATACAAAATTTGCACTTATCAATATAAGATTTTTTATGATCCTAATAAAGATTGAGTTTTTTTGGTAGAATACATGATGTAACTGCGAAGCACAAAGAGAATTTGAGCCAAATTTAGCTTTCATTGTCTTAACTATTGTCGCGGGCTAGAATATATGCGGTGATAGAGTTAGAAAGTATTCGTCTTAGCGTTGTACGAATATTTAGCACACAAACAGAAGATGAAAGAACACCAGGATTTTTATGTGTAAAATCCTGAAAAGGGAAAAAATCACGCGGCAACGCCCAGTTGAAAAAGTTTCACTAGTGTTTGTTTGAGATACAAGAGGCTGACTCGTTCGTAAAAGTTAGGATCGTCCCTAAAGGTTAGGACGATCAAATCACAATGAATTACTTCTGGATTGAATGAAGAGCTAAAACTTCAGCCGATATTCTGCTTCTCCTCTATTTACTTTGTATTCTCTTGCCACTGTCTCTGGGTTTGCGGTTCGAAGGATCCGCTGCAATGGAAGTCAACGAGGATGTGATGGCTGCGAATAAGCGCGCCTTTCTGAATTTCTTGGACGAAGATGTATGCTTTTGCTTCTTCCCACTCTCGAATTTATTTTCCAACCCGAAATATTAATATTTTTGATCGATCCATGTATTTTTGGGTGATTTGTTTTAGGTGGGTAAGGGATTTTACATGAAGGCTATAAGGGATATGGTCCAGAACAAGCGCTGTCGCCTTATTCTCGGCATGGATGATATACGCAGCTATAGTCTGGACCTTGCCCGAAGGTCAAATCCCTACCTTTTGTTACTAGCTTGGGCTTTGGGTTTGTTTATTTTTACGCTCCTTTTTGTTCTTCAGATTGATTCGGAATCCGGGGGATTTCATACAACCAATCTCCGATGCCCTAACGGAAGTCACGCGAAATGTGGACCCAAAATACCTGAAGGAAGGGGAGAGAGTGCTCGCGGGATTTAGCGGACCCTTTGGTTTCCACAAGGTTACGCCAAGGGATCTCATGTCCTCATTCATCGGATCCATGGTTTGTGTTGAAGGGATCGTGACCAAGTGTATGTCCTCTACCTGTTTGCCAAAAAAAAAAAAAAACAAAAGAAAAGAAATAAGGAAGAAGATCGGTTATATTGTTTAATAGTTACCTTATCCGTGTCTAATCGCAACCCTTTCTAATTGATCATTGATTAAGAGCTTCTGTCACCTAGAATTTTTTTTTCCTTCTTCTACAGTGTTGAAAATATATGATGTATTAGTAGTTTTCCTTTGGAAAACTTTTCCGCAATGTTATTAAAAACTGGCTTTAGAGGTACCGCTCAGCAATGCATTGTCTTTGAGTATCGATTGTTTATGAAGCACAAACTTGCAATAAAGGCATAAAGCACACTCGTTGTACCACTTAGGCATGTGGCATTATAGCATTTTGCATTTAGTTTTGAATTAAAATGAAATCCTTGTTTAAATTTGATGCTACTTAAATTCTATAGCCAAGTAGGAGAACACTAGGAAGACAACAAGATACTTCCTTTCAATAAACATAAGCCAACACCAAAAGATGAAACTTAATAGTAAACATATATAAGTAAACGATTAGAAAATTTCACAAAGAAATAAACTAAAATTTAAAATTAACTACCCTCATAACAACCTAGAAAGGTCACCTCACATGTGAATCACAAAAATAGAGAATGGTGGTCAAAGGAAAAAATCAAACCAGTGGATTGCAATATAAATAATGATTCAGCTCAAATCGGGGATCCTTCGACAAATACCAACAAACGGGTAACAACAACACCTTATACTCACAACATTTAGAGAAGAAAGATACAAGTATAAGGAAAATCGTGTAGAGAAGAAATAGATAGAAGACTGAGAATAAAAAACATCTGTAGGAAGAAGATAACTCTTAAACTAGGAAGAAAACCCTCATGTTTGGATTCGTTTTCACCAGCAACAACCCCCTTCCAATAGAAAATCAGTCATATTTTATAGGAGAAGGCCCAATAGCCCACATAAATGTTCCATGATTCCATCCAACTAGCCAACAGAAGCCAATCAATACAACTACTTTTTTAAATGATAAAACACTATTCTAGGAATTAGCAAGGAGGGAAATGAACGACCAACAATAGGGAAACCAAAGCATGCTTGGAAAACCAACATCCAACCAACATGGTAAGAGATGTGTCAACCAATAAGGAAAAAAATAGCCCAACGATTAAATACCCATTTAGCCGTCAAGGAGCAAGGAAACAAATTCAACATAAGTGAAAAGTCAATGGAAAGAAATTAACTAAGAGCACCAAACTCAAGCATGATCATGAGTTGATTTTCATCATAGGGCACATAAAAAAAACATAGTCCAAAATTACATATCATCAAAAACCTAAGAAAATAAAATATAAAATGTAAAATGATAATCCTTGATTGCATCAAAATTTAATGTTTTGATGAACACTTATAGCAATAAATCAGCACGATCATTTTTTTCTTCTCATTATTTGTCATAGTGATTGAGTTGATTATTTTTTTTCTATTATCTCTTGTTCAAGGTATTTACTTCATTGTGATTGTTGACACTCTCTTCCCTCTTGATTTTTTGATATTCTTCTTGCTACTTTTTGTTTATTGGGATAGCAACATCTCACTCAAAGTTTATTTTTAAGAATGCTTCTTGAAGCTTTATATGCACACACTCTTTCGCTTTTTAATGCTTTTAGTTCTTGGTCTTTAGTTGGTATTTAAATCTCATAAATGTTTTTTATTTTTAAGACTTTGATCATTATTTTTTAGAATGCCGAAAATTATTATTATCTAACATATAATCCAATTGTTGAAAAATATTCTCTTATATTATTTATTCATGATTTTTTTAAATAATTCTTATATGAAGGCATTTTCGAATAAGTCTAGACATTATATAAACATTTAGTATACAACATATTGTACTAACATATTTGGTATTTAGAATTAGAAGTTTATCTCCATGTAGAGCGGGAAATGATGATGAACTCTACCAAGATTCGCATGGTTCCGTCGTATTGGGTTTTAATAGTCTCTAGTCTTCTTTGTTAGAGGCTTTCGATCTAATCTGTCTGAATGATCTTTGTCGTCAGCCATGTATTATTTTATGTAAGAGTATCTTATAGACTTGGATGAATACTTTTTAAGGAATAAATTTTAGTTGAATTTAGCTTATAAAAGGTTTTGTGCCCTATCAAGTGTAGCCGTTAGGGAACATATGGGTTTTAGCTGTCGGGGAACATATGAGTTTTGATTGTGATCGTTTATCTTGTAGTGCTATTGTGCTAAGCCATTGTTCAGAGGGCCTCGATTATAACCATTTATCTTGTGGAGCTATTATACCAAATCATCAGTTCTGAGGAGTTATTGGACAAAACAATTGATTAGAAGACGTGCCATGTTCTTATTAGTAGAATATTATTTGAGAATGAATCTTAGTGATATTTTTGATTTGATATTTGCTCTTTGTAAGTTGAAGTTATTTTTGAATTTATTACCCTGGCCAAATGATTGGTGAGGGTGGATCAAATTTATTTGAAAATTTGTGGTGATTAGTTTCAATTTAATTATTTAAACTTTGATAGACATTAGAATTTTTTTATTTTTTTTTTATAAATTTTGAGAATTAATTCATCCAGTCGAGATTTACTTTTAATAAGTTCATCATCGGAGTGACATTGAAGTTAATTGAAAAATGTTTGGGAAATTTACATACATACCACTTTATAACATCCTATTTATATATCTAACACCCAAAACTTTAATATTACATGCATATCATCCTATATTATTTTAATATCAAATATACCACTTATATTTCTTTCCCACCACTCATAAATTTCATTTCTGCCACTCATATTTGATATGAAAATGAACTATGGGTGGTATGTAAGTAATATTAAAGTTTTAAGTGTTAAATATGTAAATAAAGTAGTATAAGGTGGTATGTATGTAAATCTCCCATTTTATGTTTATCAAAATATTTAGGCATTTAAAGAAATAGGGTTCCCTCCAATTAAAATTCAACTTCAACATGCCCATCATTGGAGATGACATTAAAGTCATTTAACAAATATTTATAATTTTATTGGGGTTAAGATGCATTTAAAAAGGTAAGGTTCTTTTTGGTTAAGATTCACTTTCAATACGACAATTATTTAAAATTTAAATTATTTATGCTTTTGTTATTTGAACATTGTAAATTATTTTTGGATGTGAATCAACTCGTCACATAATTCCTCACTTTTTTGTCCATCTCTTTTGCATGTCATGGCTTTGTGCTTGGGCAAAATTTGCCTTTTCGCTTGTGCAAATGAGTTTTCTTTTTGAGTAATTTTGACATTCCAGATGCGATGACAAATTATTTTTTTTTGCAAATAGACGTTGTTTGACCAACCATGCAGTCTGTCTCATGATTGGATGCAATGGGCAATTTTGTGTGGCATTATGCTCACCAATCGTCGCTTTCATCGCTTTGTCTTGCATGTAAGCAACCACTTTGGTATGTTTGGCCCTCTTAACACATCGATGCATCACGTTTAAAAAAAGGATGAAGTTTGAATGATTTTGAGCCACTTCAAGGTATCTCGTGCTCATTATGCTTGGTGCCGTGTTTGTTGATTGTCATTCTCATTTTACTCACTTTCATTGATTGCAGAATTTGTATAGAGGTCAACTTCATCCTTACAAGCATCTTGTGTTGCTCGCAGCCCTGTCCTTTGAGTTTGCCCCATCTTGCTTCTTAAAGGATAAACCAACTTAATTTTTACTCTAAAAGTACGTGACAATAGCGAATTAATAGGGAGTTTTAGGAGGAAGTCTAGTTACAGTGCACTTGAATCATTATTGGAGTAAAAGTCTAAAATAATCATCCGACTATTAATAAATGTCCTAATTTAATCCTTTGACTATTAGAAAATATTTCAATTTGGTCTTAAGGCCAAAAGTAATAATTAAAGTTAACCCCAACAATTAAATACGAGAACATTTTAAATATTAGGATATAGGTTAGATTATATTATTATTTTTATAGATTTATTATTTATCATATTAAAATAAATACAAAAATCACAATGAAAGTTAGCTGCATATATTAATTATTCATTATTGTTATTTAATTGATTAATTTTCATTATGATTTTGGTATTTATGTTAATATGATAAATAATAAAAAAAATATAAAAATATGATATCACCTATATCAAAGTCGGGGTTAATTTTAACTATTAATTTTGGCCTTGAGACTAAATTGAGAAATGTTTTAATAGTTGGTGGATTAAATTGAGTCATCATAAAAAGTCTAAGATTAAATTGGTCACTTACTAATAGTCGAGGGACTATTTTGTGCTTTTAATCATTATTGGAGCAAACACTTGGTTGTTGCAACCTCTTTGCCATTTAAACTTAAGATCGAGAGAGGTTTATATAGCACTTATCTGCTTTGCCAACACCATTTGTCATCTGTTAATGGGATTCCTTATTCTCAAAGAGCCAATGTTGTTCGAACTACCAATCTCTGATATTTTATTAGTGTTTATAATTATCCAATTTGAATAAAAATTAGGGCATTGATTTGTTTCTTTTAAATTATGTTTAAATGTGCCCTTGATACAAAATTTGTGCTTATCAATATTGGATTTTTATGATCCTAATAAAGATTTGAGTTTTTTTTTGGTAGAATACTTGATGCACTGTGAAGCAAAAAGAGAATTTGAGCCAAATTTAGGTTTCATTATCTTAACTATATTAAGTAGTGAACTCAAATTATAGTTAAAATTTACTGAACTTCTTTAAATTGGTTTGCATTATCCTTGATATAATAAATATAAATGGTTTTTCCTTGTTGGAAAGTTCCTGCAGCTTTTGAATCTGTAATTTTAGGGGTTTGACTTGTTGAGAAATTAGATCAAGCGCTATAGCAGTTGTTGTATCTTTTCTTCATTTCCAGCTGCTTAGGCTTCCTAGACTGTCCTAGTTTAATGAAGGTTTACTTATTTAGTTATTTTCAATCATTCTTTCTCTTCTTGAAGGCTCTCTTGTAAGGCCAAAAGTTGTCAAAAGTGTTCACTACTGCCCCACAACCAGTTTATTTACATCTCGAGAGTATAGAGACATTACGTCCATGACAGGCCTACCTACAGGTTCCGTGTATCCAACAAGGGTAACTTTTCCACTTAAAATTTACATATGATCCAGCGGAGGATACCTTTTTGCTTCTAACAATCAAGTATTCCTCAGGATGAGAATGGAAACTTACTGGTGACTGAATATGGATTGTGTGAATACAAGGACCATCAAACACTTTCAATGCAGGAAGTGCCTGAAAATTCTGCTCCAGGACAACTTCCTAGAACAGTAGATGTCATCATAGAGGATGACCTGGTGGATTCTTGCAAGCCGGGGGATCGTGTGTCAATTGTAGGGATATATAAAGCTCTTCCTGGAAAAAGTAAAGGCAGTTTAAATGGGGTGTTCAGGTCTATATTAACATAAGTGCTTCATTACTTCTATGCTCTATGCGAAATGTTTGTTTTATCACTTCGGAAGTAATCTTTCTTCTTATTTACAGGACCGTTCTCATAGCCAATAATGTTTCTCTTCTCAACAAGGAGGCAAATGCTCCAATATATTCACTGGAGGACCTAAAGCGAATGAAAGAAATAGCCAAGAGAAATGATACATTCGATCTATTGGGGAATTCAGTAGCGCCTTCAATATATGGTCATTTGTGGATCAAGAAAGCAGTTATATTACTGATGCTTGGAGGTGTGGAAAAAAATCTGAAAAATGGAACACATTTGAGAGGGTAAAATTTAGTGCATGCCTGATAATTTGGATTTATTATTCTGTGCGGAGTCCGGAGGGCGTCCGGAGACCAATAAAAATGTGCTACATCATCCCATTGCTCGGTACCCACGCTTAATACCCCTCGGTACCGCTGCGTACCTAGCGTTTAACCGGACGGGAGAATCGTCCGGTATCCGCACAGAATAATAGCTCGATAATTTGGGTATTATTGCCATACACTATAACTTGTCATTTTGGTATAATGCAGTGATATCAATATGATGATGGTTGGTGATCCTTCGGTTGCCAAATCTCAGCTTTTAAGAGCAGTCATGAACATTGCCCCATTGGCTATTTCGACTACTGGTCGGGGTTCCTCTGGTGTTGGCTTGACTGCTGCTGTTACTTCTGACCAGGAAACTGGTATCCAGCTGATTACTTGCATAATGGTGGTTGCTTTCCTTGCTCTGTGATAAATTCTTACTAGTTTAATATGGCCAGGGGAGAAAAGGCTTGAAGCTGGCGCCATGGTTCTTGCTGATCGAGGTGTTGTTTGTATTGATGAGTTTGATAAAATGAATGATCAAGATCGTGTTTCTATCCATGAAGTTATGGAACAACAAACAGTAACAATCGCCAAAGCAGGAATTCATGCATCATTAAATGCTAGGTGCAGTGTGATAGCTGCTGCAAATCCGATATATGGAACTGTAAGTCTTTGCAATAAGTCCCACTTCAGCATTGCTATAAAAACATCTTGTTCTTTATTGTAGTGCTCTCTCTTTGTTCAATCGAGCCAGGAGTGTAGTATTAAGATTTCATCATATGTTATGCCAAATTTTTGTGAACCAATAACAGTATGATCGATCGTTAACACCAACGAAGAATATTGGACTTCCAGACTCATTGCTTTCTCGTTTTGACCTGCTTTTTATCGTCCTCGATCAAATGGACCCTGAAATTGATCGTCAAATCGCAGAACATGTCTCTCACATGCATAGATATTGCACAGATGATGGAGGTGAAGTTTTTATTCAGCGTAGCTTGGCTGTCTGACCTGCGTTCCTGCCGTTTGGTACAACCTACTTAAAGTTTAATTTATGCAGGAATTGGAGCCTTTGAAAAAGGTGCTCGATACACTGAAGAAGATGATGGTGATGTCAATGCGCCCATTTTTGTAAAGTATGATCGTGTACTTCATGGCCATGAAAAGAAGAGGGGTAAAAGGCAGAAGAATGAGAGACTCACTATTAAGTTCTTAAAGAAGTATGTTCACTATGCTAAAAATAGGATTCAGCCCAAGCTCACAGATGAGGTAAGCATAAACACTGAAACTTTATATGCAACAGTGATGACTGCCTTGCAAGAAAAGAACCATTCTGTTGCTAGTCAAAAGTGCGTAGGAGTACCATTCACGGACAATCCATCAAATTGCTTCATTGAATGCCGTTGTTATTTTAATTTGAATGTCTTTAGTGCTTTTTGTTCTGCGGCACAGACGTCTCTTATTATGAACTATTCATTTTGCTTCAAATTTCTATGTTATATCTCTCGAAGCATAAAACAAATATCAAAACAACTATAAAGCTCTGCTATCACTTGGACTGACAAACAAGTACAGTTATAAACATCGATGGTTGTCTAGCTGCTATTTGTTTTAGAAACGTGTTAGTTAAAAAATGTAGTAATTTTGGATACAACATGCAAGTTTCTCTGTCTTTTTAATCTTTGTTGATAATGCTCAGGCAGCTGATCATATTGCAACTCTATACGCAGAACTTAGGGATGCTAGTGCAAGTGCAAAGGTTCGTTTTACCAGATGCGTTTTATTAACAGTTAACCGGTCTTCAGATTTTTTTAAAATTTTCTTTTTTATGTTTTTTATTTTAGTCTGGAGGAGGTACACTTCCAATCACAGCAAGAACTTTAGAGACTATCATACGTCTCTCTACCGCTCATGCCAAATTAAAGTTAAGGAATGAGGTAACTTTCCCAAGAAGTGTAACTGTTTTTTCTATTATTAAACATATGCAAAATGCTTGACAAAAGTTCACAAGAGAAGTGAAAAACCAGAGAAACTGCTTAAGCCTCCATGCTTATTGATTATTGAATCCCAATAGTAACAATGATATTGCTTTAAATTCATTATTTTACTCTAGGTTTTGAAGGGAGACGTAGAAGCTGCTCTTATGGTTTTAAACTTTGCTATATATCATAAGGAGTTAACTGACATGGAAGAGCGTGAACAAAGGGAAAGAGAGATGGAGATGAAGCAGAAGGCTGATCATGATCCTGGCCATGATGCTGATATGGATGGAAGGTGTTTATGCTTCTTTTGCACTTTGCACGTACAAATTCATGCTTTCAATTGTTCTATGGAACCATGCTAATGATTATAATCCTTCTGAGAGTTCAACATTATTAAATTTTTATTTTTCTTAATGTAAGTAGAATTGTTGTGTTTTCCTTTGCCATCTCTTAGAATAATGAAAGATGAACGGGCTTTGTTGTACATCCCTACAGTTCTTTTCAATGAAAGATGCTTCATTAGTTTTAATTCTAACACAATGGTTGTTTTTTTGTCTTGAGTAATTTTCTCTTATAACTTATAGTTGGTGCAGCCGCAAAAATATTTAGTTTATTTGAATTTCCCGGTTCATATCATTTTAGATGGAAAGCTGCTGAAGCTCTTGCTTTGCATGATTTTTTATAATTTTAGTTGACAACAACAACAACATCAAGCCTTTATCCCACTACGTGGGGTCGGCTACATGAATCTTTTTTCTTCATTGTGTCATGTTAAGAGTTAAATTCTCATTTAGATCCAATAAAGAAAGGTCATTTCTAATATTTTTTAACCGAGTCTTTTTAGGTCTACCTCTTCCTTTCTTAACATAGGCCAAATCTAATACATCTACTCTCCTAACTGGATCATTGGAAGACCTTTTTTTATGTGATCAAATCATCTAAGGCGACTCTCTCTAATCTTATCTGCCAGTAGAGCTACTCCAACTTTTTCATGAATATACTCATTTCATATCATATCTCTAAGAGCAAAGCCACTCATCCAACTGAGCATCCTCTTCTCTGCAACTCCTAACTTAGTATTATGCTTCTCTTTTAATGGCCAACATTCTGCGTCATAAAGCATTGCAGGTCTAACCACCATTTTATAAAGTTTCCCCTTATGTTTGAGTGGTATTTTTCTATCACATAACAAGCTCGATGCATTCCTCCACTTCAGCGATCCAACTTGAATTCTACTAATAATATCCCCATCTATTTCACCATCACTCTGAACAACAGACCTAAGATATCTAAAATGTGTACTCTTATTAATGACTTGATCGCACAAAGTCACAAATCTCTCACTAGATCTGTTACTACTAAAATTACACTCCATGTATTCGGTTTTAGATCTATTCAAACGAAAACCTTTAGACTCTAAGGTTCACCTCCATAATTGGAGTTTACCTTCAAATCCCTCTTTAGTCTTATCAACAAGAAGAATATCATCAGCAAAAAAATTTACATTAGGGAACATCCTCTTGCAATCTCTAGTAAGAACATCCATGACTAAATAAAAAATATACGGGCTTAAGGATTGTTGCGTCCAGAAATATCCGCGGCGTTAGAGAAATATATAGTTTAACATTTAGCGTTGTGCGAAAATCCAACACACAAGCAGATAAGAGAGAGGGTGTAACGTTCATAAGAGGCACCAGAGTTTTTACGTGGAAACCCTTGAAAAGAGGGAAAAACCACGGGGCTTGCCCAATTTGAATGAATCAACTAGTATTTGCGTTCGATTACAAATGAGGCCCTTCCTTGGGAGAAGGCCTTGGCTTGATGTCACAAATGTATGTCATAAAGAATGCATTACATGTTGGGAGTTACAATAATCAACATAGACATGTTTATTTGGTTGTAATGGTCATAGTCGGCATGAGACAGGGGTCCAAAACACTGTAGTTGGCAAGAGACAGGAGTCAAAAAGATCGTTGTCTGGTGATGGATGTGACGCCCCAGGCATCCATAGTGAAAGGATTCGTCTGACATTCTGATCGAACTCCATTCCAGTTGCCTTGCTCGGACCTGAAATTTTAAACCACATATAATGAGCTTACAAAGCCCAGCAGGTCACCTAATACCTATAACTGAAATCAAAGCACGGCGATGCTATCAATATGCATGTCAATCTATCAATCTGAATCAGTCAATGGTCAATGAGTCTATGCAGTACGAAAATTCAATAGTCAATAAAGCCAGTCAATGCAGCAGCAAGCGAATCGATAAATCAACTCAATAAATCCATGTCAATCTCAAAGAAATCCGTACGCAATAGGAAATCAATCAATCCGTCAAATCAATCGCTATCAAATCAAATCAATGCGGTCTAATCAATACTATTTATTCAATGAAATCAAACGAGGAAAGCAGTACGATAAATCTCAATTTAGTCTAACAATGAATCCATGCAGCAGTCAATACGGTGCAGAAACAGTAACAACAGTGAATCTCAAGATCAATAAATCCATAGGCAGTAGTAACAATAAATCTATAAGCAGAAATCAATGAATCTATAGGCAACAGTGTCAATAATTCTATACTATTCATGTCCATGCTATCAATACAATATATATATCCATCCATTTCTATATCAATGCTCAATGTCGATGCACAGCAATCAATCAGTGAAATCAATGAAATCGTACGATCTAGTAAATCCAATCAAAGTCGATAAAGCAGGAATCTATAAAACAATGAATCCATAAATCAATACAGTAAACATGCAATTCAATACTATATACTGGACAAGTACAATCAACTGGCTATGTTGCTGTTGTAGAATCCATATTGCTGTTGTAGATATCCATACATTGGTTCTATCAATAAGAGTCGTCACTCTTTTCGCCCGTCGGCATTTTTATAAACTCCTTATGACTCCCAATCGTTATATCAATGATCAATGGTTTAAAGGAAAGCCCGTCGGCCCACCATCCTGTACAGGTCAATATCAATCTCCAACCAATGTTCAACCAGGTTATACGTGTGTTCCAGTATCAATAATCAATCAATAATCAGTTTAATAATCAATATTAAAGCAATCTATAGCAATTATATCAATAATCATAAGCATATCAATCTAATCTATCAATTTCGGGAAAATCAGAAATCGTACGAAAATCGGGCAGAGTAACGACAGTCGGTCAAATTTACACAAAAATCCTGCAAAAAGGCACAAGTTCCAAATTCTTCCAAATTACAGTAGAACATTCACGACATCAATATAAGACTATTATTCTATAGAATCCAAATCAAATCACGTCCTGATATTTTTCTATTCAATTAAAATTGCGTAGAATCAATTCCGACCGGTAAAATATTCGTAGAAAATAGTCAAATCGTGTACAATAGTCATATCTATAACATACTAAAAGTTGTGCGGTGAAAGATGTGTCAAATCCAAATCACGTCGAAAAATCGATTACGAAAACACAAAACAATTCATAACTCGGTCAAAATACAAAATCTTCGAAAACAGAAATAGGGTTCGGAGTCCTTACAGCGAGACAAACAAATCTTCTAACAGCGTCGTCGGACGAAAAGCGCTCCGTGGCCTCCAAAACCAAGCTTCCTTCTTCTCTTCCTTCTCTTTCTCTCTCTTGCCTTCTCCTCTCTCTCCAAAATGAATCCAAAATATCTCAAATCCGATATTTATTAACACTGATCGTCCTGGACGATCCAAATTTCGTCCTGGTACGATGGGTTATCTGGACAAATTTCGTACAGACGAAATCCAAATTCGTCCCGGGCGACTAGCTCTCTGGACATATTTCGTACAGACGGATCGTCCCGACTGCTCCAGGTTCGTACAGACGAAAATAGCAGATTTCTTCACAAATTTCTTCAGTTCGTCCAGTACTAAAGTCAGATCGTACGGGACTAACAGCACAAAAAAAATCAGCTTTTTTTTTTTTAAGGATTTTACAATGGAGGTCGAAAGGACCATAGTTGCAAGAGACAGGGGGTCCGAAAGATCATAATAGAAGGGCAATACTCCGGGAGAACTCTGAGAGTCAAGTGGTGGCCCGATAGAAGTCCGGGCGTCAGGTGGTGGCCTGGTGGAGCTCAGGGCCTCAAGTGGTGGTCCGTTAGAAGTCCGGGTGTTAGGTGGTGGCCTGGTGGAGCACAGAGCCTCAAGTGGTGGTTCGGCAGAAGTCCAGGCCTCAAGTGGTGGTCCGGTGGTGGTGAGAGCCTCAAGTGGTGGTCCGGTCGAGCAACGACGTCAGACGGTGGTCCGACGGAAGTTCTGGCCTCAGGTGGTGGTCCGACAGAAGTCCGGGCTTCAGGTGGTGGTTCGACAGAAGTTCGGGCCTTAGATGGTGGCATGATGGAGCACAGGGCCTGAAGCGGTGATCTGGCGTGAGACCGGGCCTCAAGTGGTGGTCTGGTGGAGGTGAGGGCCTTAGGTGGTGGTCCAGCAAAAGTCCGGGTCTCAAGTGGTGGTCCAGTGGAGGTGAGAGCCTTAAGTGGTGGTCCAGTGGAGCAACGAAGTCAGGCGGTGGTCAGGTGGAAGTTCGGGCCTTAGGTGATGGTCCAGCAGAAGTTTGGGCCTCAGGAGGTGGCTTGGTGGAGCACAAGGCCTCAAGCAGTGATCGGGTGGAAGGCCGGGCCTCAAGTGGTGGTCCGGTGGAGGTGAGGGCCTCAAGCGGTGGTCCGACGAAGGAGATACGTGGTGGTCCGACAGAAGTCCGGGTCTTAGGTGGTGGTTCGGCGGAGCAACGACGTCAGGTGGTCTGGCGGAGGAGAGGGCCTCAAGTGGTGGTCCGTCGGAGGAGAGGGCCTCAAGTGGTGGTCCGGTGGAGGTGACAACCTCAAGTGGTGGTCCGGCGGAGGAGAGGGCCTCAAGTTGTGATCTGACAGAACTCCGGCGGTGGTCGAGGAGGAGCGAGGAGGCAAGAGCGATCTCTGATCTCTCTCTTGCTCTCTTGCTTGGAGGTCTCCTTTCAAGAGAAATGAGGGGTCTATTTATAGATTTCTGGAGTGGCATAGCCCGTAAATAGGTGAGAGATTTCTGGAGGTCTCCTATTTTCCGTAAATGGGGAGTGGTTGGATGGACGGCTAATGTTGAATCCCTTGATCATGGACCGTTTGATGGACATTTGAATGTCTTAAAGATGTTGGAATTCAATGGTCTTGGGATCGTTGGATTCGTCTCGTCGAGTCGCTCGATTCGACTATAAGCACGTTATGTTTGGAAACCGTTTGGTAATTCAAATTGTGGTTCGAACCTTCCAACAACGCTTCTAACCCTTGATTTGGACCCATTTGGGCTCGGATTGGGTTGGATTTGGTGTCGTCGGGTTCATATTCTCGAGATGCTCAGTTCGACTGTAAGTTTGTTGAAATCAGAGTTCGAATGGTTCCAATTTTAATTTTGGAAGTTTTCAACTTGATTTTGCCTTGAGATTCATGCCCGATCCAGATAATTTTATGATGATATATCAAGGATGATCCTTGATGTAATCCAACTAAAATAGGAAAATAATTTGTCAAACCACATTGTGTTTGAACACCTGTAACAACTCCAACATACATATCCCTAATGACTTGAGTATAAGCATTATTAACCTTTTTTTTTAGAACTCTTCATAGCACTTATCTTGGAACTTTATCACATGCTTAGTTTAAATCAATAAATATCATATGTATATCTCCATCAAACCTCTCAATAAATGTATGTCTTCCATAGTAGATCTACCCGACATGAATCTAAATTGATTTTGAGAAACATTAGAATCAGTTCGTAACCTATGCTCCATAACTCTCTCCCAAAGTTTTAAAGTATGTCACATCAACTTAATTACTCTATAATTCACACAATCTTGTGCATCACCTTTATTCTTAAAAATAGGAATCAACACACTCATTCTCCACACATCAGACATCTTTTTAGTCTTCAAAATAATATTAAAAAGTTTAGTAAGTTAATTTTTTTTCATCACCTAAGCATTTGCAAACCTCTACTGGAATATCATCAGGTCCAATTGTTTTCCCACACATCATTTTCATTAAAACCTCTTTAGTTTCAGTTTTAGTAATACGCCGATAAAAATAAAAATCTCTATTTTCATTTAGAATGTTAATGTCATTAAAGTCAATCGTATTTTTACAATCTTCATTGAAAAGCTTAGCAAAATATCTCATTCATCTTAAAAAAAAGTACTTTTTGATCCTCATCCTTAATGGACCTCACTTAAACTAAACCATTACTACTCTATCTCTTTGTTTGACTATCTTATACTTATATCTTTAGCTATCTTTAATATCTAATTTATTATATAAATCATTAAAAGTAGTTGACAAGCCTAACAAATTTTGCTATCGTGCAAACAAGAGAAACCCACCTGTAGTTCTTAGTTTTCTTCTTATCCTTGTTCTTGTACGAAAATGTAATTGAAACTTCCATTTATTCTACACTGTTTCCAATTATAACTTGAGCTTCATGAAAATCATTACTAATCTTAAATACTTTTTTGCTGTTGCTGCTCATTACATTGTGTACATTTTTCTTCCTATTTTTTATGAAGAGCCAATATTAGAAGTAAATACTTAGCTTTTACTGTTTCTTGTTCATCTGGATTCAGCAGAACAGATGCCATGGAAGTAGATGAAGTCCCTGAAGTAGAAACAGATGAAATTTCTCCAGAAAGGTTCCAACTTAGCTAGAAATTAATACACCTTTTCTGCAATATCTTATTTCCATCTCTCACCATCCTTATACTACAGGATCGAGGCATTTGAAACCATTTTGGGGCAACATGTGCTTGCTAATCACCTCGATCAAATCTCTATATCAGAAGTTGAACGCTTAGTTAATCGTGAAGCACCTGCGCCCTACACTAGGCGGCAAGTTGAATCTATCTTGGAGGTTAGTATATAACCTTTGCTTTCTATAAATGAATACTGCATCCTTTTTTGAGGTCCTTTTGCTTGGCTTAGGCTTTGTTTGTGACGGCTTTCTTACTGCTTCTTAAATCAGTTTTTTAGTATAAAAGTTTTAATTTTTAAACTAAAAAACTATTTTAAGAAACAATAAAAAAACCGTCTCAAATGAAGCCTTAGATATTATAATAATGCAGCTTGTATTCTGAATTCCTGACTTGCTAGAAACTTTGCCAGTTTTGAAAAAAAAATAAAAAAAATTATATATTGAATATACAACATCATAATTTCAATTATTTTTAGCTTTATTTGCTCTTGAGCACAACAAATTTTCTATCTCCCTTCAATGCAGAGAATGCAAGATGCCAACAGAATAATGATAAGAGATGGAATTTTGAGAATTATTTAAGTCGGCTCTGAAATGTTGTAGAAACTACAAGGTAACATGCAGCAGATGATTTCAGCATTTTTCCTATTTGTTGCAGTCAAGAACCGTCAGATACCCATATGAAGCTTGAAGTTTGGTTATTGTGTGAGCTCTGTTATATATACGAGCATGCCGTTAACCTCATGCAGAGTAGTCCGTTAAAAACAGTTTGAAATCATTGAATGTTTGAAGAAGTTATGATGAAATTAAGAAAATTTCTTTTCTAAGGATGAGTTGCACCATTAATGTACACTCGACATCACTGTTCTTCTATTTGATTGTTCAAGCGAAGTTCTACTTCTAAGTAGGTTGTATATATATATTTTAAGTAGGTTGTATATCTCATTTAACACTTAGGTTTTGTTTGGGACGGTTGTCTTCCTGCTTTTTAAAATTATTTTTAGTAAAAAATTTAAATTTTGTACTAAAAAATTGCTTTAAGAAGTAAGAAGAAAGCAGTCTCCCAAAGACTTCGTTTGGGATAGTTTTCTTATTACTTTTTAAAGTAGTTTTTTAGTACAAAAATTTTTAGTTTAAAAATTTAATTTTTTTTTGTATTAATAAGTTTAAGAAGCAATTTAGCACTTATTTTTATGTGATGGTTACTTCTTAGAAGAGAGCTGAAATCTATTCTAAAAGTTGAGCTAAACTCATAACTGCCTTTTACAATTAACTAATGGATAAAGAATACCATCTTCTAGCATCCAGTTTAGGCTTCGTTTGGGACGACTTTCTTACTGCTTTTAAAAGCAGTTTTTTAGTATAAATTTTTAAATTTTTTACTAAAAAGTTGTTTTAAGTAGTAGTAAGAAAATTGTCCCAAACGGAGCCTTAGTGATCATTAAATTAGATGATCGGTTAATGCTTTGCTCAGGATATTTGAGAAGAGCCAACTTATCCATAGTGATTAGGTTCTTTGAAGTTATCTAATGAAGCTCTTGAACTTTGGTAGATTAGTACCACAAGATTAGCTCAAGATGAAGAAATCATACTTTTAGGATTAAATCAACCACCCTTTTTATTGAATTAAACTCATTCTTCTCATATAGAAAAAGTTGTAACTGTGTTTTGTTCCCATGAAAAATCTCAAAATTTACATGCTAATGGCATAATTAACTTTCGATCATAGTTATTTTGAAAATCAATTCGAACTGTTGAATCGGTTTTGGTTTCTTAAAATTGGTTTGTTCAATTGGTATCTTATTTATATAATTAAATAAATAAACCTAATAAATTTAGTATAAAATATTATATTTAACACATTAATTTAAATTTAATATATTTAATTTTAAAATTAGTATTAAATTTTTATAATAATACATTTTTTTGCAAATTAATTATTTTCTTATGGCTCTACCACCTCATGCCATTTCTTTATTCAATCTCCTACACCAATATACTGCGACAATACATCGGCAATCGCCATCGCCCGAAATCCCGTCTTTCATGCGCGGACGAAACATATCGAGATAGACTATCAGTTTATTCGTCAGCACCTCAAGAACGGAGCGATTTCCATCACTCATATCTCATCCGACGCACAGATAGCTGACATTTTAACAAAATCCTTTTCTATCGCTCGTTTTCAAAATCTTCGTCACAAATTAACCATTCGTTCACCGAATGGTTAATTTGAGGGAGGCTGTAAACGACCGTTATATTTATCTGCATTGTATTTACACACCGTGCCATTAAGCTCTTTTATATATACTCCTCTGTACTCTGTTTTTGCATATTATTGGAATAATATACATTTCTTTCTTCTTGTTTACCGTCTTTACTGTTTCCCTGCCTTTCTCTGTCTACTTTCTATCAATATGAAGCTGTCCTAAATTAAGTCATAGGCTTCGTTTGGGACGACTTTATTACTATTTCTTAAAGCAATTTTTTAGTACAAAAATAATAAATTTAGCTATAATAAAACCGTCTTTATCTTTAAAGTACCGTTTTTTCTCTATTTTCAAAAGAATTTTATGCTCAAAACAGTAAGAAAGTGACCTAAACGAAGCATTCTCATATGCAAGGCAAAATGGAGCTTCCCAACTAGTTTCTTTTCTGAATTTGCTTGTGATGAATCATCCAATATATACTTTCCAAAGTTTAACCCGGAAAACAAAAACAAAAAAAAACAAAAAACCGAAGTAGAAACGCAGCAGCAGTAATCCATTCCAACAGTAAGAAGATCAATTGCCTTCTTCCCGCATTGTCTGCAAAATTTGTTGTCTTTTTCCAATGGCTGACACGCCTTGCATGAGAACAAATTGTAGCCTGGAAGTGCTTAATAAGCCGACAAAGGAGCATTTAGAGCAAGATGTGGTGGAGAAGCTGATAGTAGAATATGAACAGGTTCTGCATGAATGGCGAGGGAGGTGAACCTCCTCACCACATAAATAGGTGAAATTATTACATGCGGTTATCAGGCGCCGTCTGAAGATTAATCAGGACTCGTCACATCACCATTTTGCTGTGTACCGCTATGTTTCAGATCAGGTGGGGCATCCTGATTTTTCTCCGGATAGTTCAGTGACCGCACGTAATAATTTCTCGACATAGTGGATGGGCATTGCTTTCAACCATTTGATTTATAGGAGGGCAGAGCCCATACACTATGAATTACATATTTTTTCATGGGAATATAGTAATTATTTATTAAATTGCACTTTACATTAATTATTCCTTTTTCAGCAATTTTATTTTATTTTTAAATTAAATACATAATGGAAGTCCTTTGCATTCAGTTTATTTTTATATTATTTCAGTAAAGTTGATGCTGTCTTTAGAAATTATATTTTTATTGAAATTGGCTAAAAGATTTGGTGGGAAGAATATCTTTGTCAGTGGGAATTTGCATTAAGCAATCGTTTGCTTTCACTAACATCATATCAAAGCTTTTCATTTGTTGGGTTCTAAAGCATTTAGCAATTGTAATTTTACTTGGAATAAATCCTAACCTACTGATCAGTGGTTAAGAAATAAAAGAAAATTTAATTAAATATTGCAAAGAAAGAAAATTCATATGAACTATGCTTAACATGGAACTCTGTTAATTAAGAACAATAAATTGTTTCCATTTGATGTAAACGTTGTGCACATTATGTGATTACAAATAGAGTTGTCGATAAAATCTATAAGTGTTAGGTAATCTACGGGGGCCTTAATTTGACTGTTCTTATGAGAGGTAACTCCCCTTTCGGTGTCTCGATGAACGAGTTCTCGGTGAACCTTGGGCGAGTTCTCGTTAAGGGTTCACAAGACGTACATGAATCCACCTGCTATGACCCGCCGACTATCCATTGAGCACTTGAAATGATATATGTGAGTATACAACAAAGCTTCTATAATTATAAAGAATTGAAATAAAAAAATATTATATTATATATAATTAGGTAGAATTTTCATGAAATTTAAGCAGACAAGAGCCACTTTAATATTGTGAATATTAAGTGTAAATTTTTTGCATAAACTACCTACATGAACTCTTTTTCATCTCAATGTAAAGTATTTTACTCACAAGAAAAACAAAAAAAAATTGTATGAATATATATCCTAATACAAACATATTAAGATAAGAAAATATTTATAATAAGATAACACCAATAAAAGATTTAAGTTTTTTGTAATTCATATCATATTTTCTTATTTTGAGCATCTATAATTCTATCTTGATATATTTTATAATATATTGTTCATGATATAAATTTTTTATTCACTTTAAACTATGTATGTAGATAGAAAATAATACTTATTGGGTGTGAGGAGCTTCACTTTTCCATCACTATAATATCCATTAAAAGGTCCCCCACCACCACAAATGGTTTTCAGCTGAAATTCATATCATGCTCATTATTCATCTCTTCATCCCATAATATAAGGTAAATTTATTATTATAGAGCATAAATAAAAAGTCATTAAAATTAGGCTTAATGATTAATTAATTGTCTAATTCATATTCAAGCTAAAGTTTAAACTTTAGGAGAGATGGTTAATCATTTTGTAAGGCTAAACTTATAGTCTCAAGTGTTTCTCATATTTTTCAATACTATGAAGTATCGTGCACCAAGTGCCGACTTAGGCTTCTTTTGGGACGGCTTCCTTACTGCTTCTTAAAGCAGTTTTCTAGTACAAAAATTTTAGGTTACATTTGGGGCGGCTTTCTTACTGCTTCTTAAAGCGGCTTTCTAGTACAAAAAAATTAATTTTGTACTGGAGAGCCGTTTTAAAAAGCTGGAAGAAAGCCGTCCAAAACAAAGTCTTAATTTTTTGTACTAAAAAGCTGCTTTAAGAAGCAATTAGAAAGCCATCTCAAAAGAAACCTTAGTTATGTGAATGCACTAAAGACCATAAGAGGTAAAAAATGTGTAGATAACTTAATCATAATCGGTTATAAGACCGCTAATTTGTTAGAGAACATGAACAAATATAACAAATTTATAATCAACTGAGAAGTTTAAGTCTAAATGATGAAGGCCAATTATTGTTTTTGAATAAAATATTTTTCGGTTATTCAATATAAGGTTATATATGTAAAACCTCAGATGTATTAACATATATTTTTGCCTATAAATCTATTTATAATTCTCAATTAAAAAAAAAAAAAAAAACAACTCAATGATAAGTTTGAAAATTTGTTAAAAGTACTTTTTTTTTTATTTCCAAATTTTTTTAAAGATCTCTAAGTACCATTATTTGAGGTGGAGTTGCCCATAAGCTTTGAGGTGGTCCTTATTATTTGAAGTCTTATTCCTTGCCAAGTAAAGCTACTTTAGTCAGCAAAGGAGTTCATTTGTGAGGAGAGAAGAGACTTATATGCCTTGCTTGACTCACATCCACTACCAAAGTGTCAAGAGCATCATTATATCCTACTCATATAGCAATATTTAGGGGCCATTTTTAATTCCTATCTTTTGGACTTTGCTTGACTGAAGAATGTGGTTATGATTGGACCCAAAACATTGATCTTCTAAAGCAAAAGGAGCACTTAAATGAGTAGGGGTGTTAAAATGGGTTGATGAGTTGGGTCCGATTCGAAATTGATTAGACCCGAACCCGATCAATTGATCCCAAGCCATTTAATAAATGAGTCAAAAAATTAAATTTAAACCTGACCCGGTAGTGACCCGATAATCCATTTTAGTTTTATTAGCTTATTAATAATAGATTTTTATGTTAACTGATTACAAATAAGAAGATTATGCTAAAAAATAAAAGAATTTAAGAAAAATATTAAATGGGCCTTTTTTGGATTAAAAGTGGGTTGGCGGGTTGGCAGGAATTCGATCAGTTTGATAAA